GATTGGCTTAAAGACTTTAAGAAATTAGACAAATCAATTGTAATAGCTTGTGCAAATGGAGAAACTGTGGTTGGTGAAGCAATTGGTAATGTAGTCAACGAGGATATGGACGTCTCAATTAATAATGTTTTGTATGTACCTAACTTAGCTACAAATTTACTCAGTGTTAGCACAATTGTAAATAAAAACCTTGTAGTTGTATTTGAGAAATCTGGCTTTAAGATAATCAAAGCAGATGGATGTAAGGTTTCCGGGGAGACCTTGTATGAAGGTACTGCAAATAACGGTGTCTATAAAATACAGTATTGTTCACAGGAAGTAGGTCTAGCTTCAACCGCTGCTGACGAAATAATATTGTGGCATAGGCGAATGGGACATCTAGGGGTACGGAACCTAATGTTACTTAAAAACAAAATGGCAGATGGGGTAAGTTTTTCTAATACTGCTTCTAAGCTAGAGTGCGAAGCGTGTGCAGTAGGAAAACAGACCAAGAACCCTTTCAAGAAAACTGGTGCCACTAGGGCAAGTGAGGTCTTAGGGTTAGTCCACACAGACGTGTGCGGACCCATGAGAGAGAAGTCGTACGGAGGCTCACGATATTTTCTCACATTCATTGATGATTTCACTAGAAAAACATTTGTATATTTCTTGAAAAGTAAAGGAGAGGTCTTTGAGAAGTTTGCCGAATTCGTAAAACTTACTGAACGTCAAACTGGAAAGAAATTTAAAATTATCAGATCTGATAATGGCAAAGAGTTTGTCAATAAGCGTATGGATGAGTTCTGTAAAGCAAAAGGGATCTGTCACCAACTGACAATAGAGTATACACCCGAACAAAACGGAGTTGCTGAGCGAGCTAACAGAACTATCACTGAAAAAGCCAGGACAATGTTAGAAGAAGCTGGTTTAGGCAGAAAATTGTGGGCAGAGGCAGTCAACACCGCCGTGTATTTAAAAAATAGGTCTCCAACTAAAGCCTTGAGAAACAAAACGCCCGAAGAAGCTTGGACTGGAAGAAAAGTGAACTTAAGCCACCTCAGAGTGTTTGGATGTAAAGCTTATCTTCATGTTCCAAATGACAATGGGCCATCAGATAGAAGATATCCGCTTCGAGAAAGAATACCAAAAGCATATCCAGATTTTGTAACTTACCAAGCAGTCAAGGCATCGCCAGACCCTTTAACTGTTCAGGATGCATTATCTAGAGAAGATGGAGACAAATGGAAAGCCGCAATTGAGGAGGAGCTGAGAGCCCTCGAGAAGAATAAAACTTGGACGTTGGTGAAGCAGCCAAAGTCGTGCAACATTGTTGATTCGAAATGGTTATTTCGAATTAAAGAAGAGGCGGGGGGAAAGACTCGTTATAAGGCACGACTTGTAGCAAGAGGATTCAGCCAACGGAGAGGAGTCGACTACTTTGAAACTTTTTCGCCTGTAGTCAGACATAGCTCATTAAGAGTCTTAATAGCCTTAGCCGCCCGTTTAGAGTTAGGCATAGATCAAATGGACGTTAAAACGGCATTTTTGAATGGAGACTTAAATGAAATCGTCTATATGAAGCAACCAGAGGGGTTCGAGGTAAAGGGCAAGGAGAATTATGTCTGTCTTCTAAAAAAATCTTTGTATGGACTGAAACAAGCGCCACGAGCGTGGAACGCAAAGCTTCACTCTGAACTTATAAGACTGAAGTTCAGAAGATCTGAAAATGAGCCATGCGTTTACACCCGGTCACAGAATGGAAACATAATGATTATTGCTGTGTATGTAGATGACATTTTGATATTTTGGAACAATAAGCAAGAGATGTTCAAATTCAAAGAAGAGTTGAAGTCTAGATTTGATATGAAAGATCTCGGCAAAGCTGAGTTAATGCTGGGAATTAATATTGTTCAAGATGTCAACAAAATTAAACTGCATCAGGAGAAGTATATTGATGGACTCCTGAAGGCATTTAATATGGAAGACTGCAAACCAGTAGTTACACCAGCAGTACCCGGTCAACGGCTAGAGAAGCCTACACATGGAAGGAGACCAGATGAGAGAATTCCATATCGAGCACTGATAGGTTCGCTCATGTATGTAGCAGTATGTACAAGGCCTGACATTGCTCATGTGGTTAATTATCTTAGCCAGTTCAATGAATGCTATGAGGAACAACATTGGATTGTAGCAAAGCGAATCCTCCGTTACCTGAAAGGAAGCAAGACGCTTGGGTTGACATACAACAAACAAAAATACCCAGAAGTTGTTGTTGGTTACGCGGATGCCGATTATGCAGGAGACGCTGATCGACGTTCATATTCAGGTTCCGTGTTCCTTATTCAAGGAGGTGCAGTTTCTTGGCAAAGCACGAAATAACGAACGGTGGCTATGAGCACAGCCGAAGCAGAATACGTGTCGCTATCAGAAGCTGCAAAAGAAGCTGTCTTTCTCAAAAGGCTGATTGCAGAGATGACTGGTAAACAGGAAGAAACAATTCGGATTTTCTCAGACAGCCAGTCAGCAATTGCTATAGCCAATAATCCTGTACATCACCAACGTACAAAACATGTTGATGTGAGATATCATTTTATACGCAATGCTGTTGAGTCGGGAGCTATAAAATTGGAGTATCGGGAAACAGATAAGATGGTAGCAGATGCTCTGACCAAGGTTCTCCCCAGAGGCAAGTATGAGTGGTGTGTGAATGGTATGGGATTGCGTGTATAAAGTAAAGATGTGTGTGTACATATCATATGCATGAGATTAAGGAGGAGTGTTAGAGCAAGAGTATTGCGACCTTTTTTTAATCTCTATGCATTTTATGATAGTATTTTGAATTTTCTTTTTTTGAGTTGACAAGAGAACGTCAAGTAATAAATATGTGTTCTGCCAAGTGTGTTTTTACTAATATCCTATAATATATCTTTATGAATTTTTCTTCCAAGAGCTACTCTGTGAAGGAGTGTACCTACGTAGTATCACACTCCTTCAATCCAGATGGCCATTTTCCGCTGTAAACGATATAATTTAAGTAGGTCTAATGCGTCGGACGCCTGACAGTCTGGTTAACCAAACAGTCGACCCATAAAGGACCATCGACCGCACAATACCCGCATAGAGGTGGCGAATATTTTCTCGAGCCAAGCTTGCCAATGAATGGCAGCAGTCTATGCAGGGCATCCACTGTCTTCTCAACACAGGAGACCAGGCGTTCGAAATACTATTCGAAGCTTCACCGACCATCCAGGGTTAGGCTTAAATATTTGAGGTATCTGCCAACCTGGATTTGTGCATTCCTAACACGTACCGACTAACTGAGCGGATCTCTGGTCTTCGGTAGCTTGTGAAACCACAATACATTGCCTTTATTTTTATGGGGCGCCTCATTTTAATTCAGTCCGTAGATTGAAGCCACGACGATGATCTCCTCGAAGTTATTCCCGATTAAAATGACTAGTGTCATCTGCATAAGCATAACACACAACATGGACGCCAACGGGAAGATCGACATGCAGAACCGCATCATTATATGCCAGGTTCCACAGTAAAGCACCCAGTAAGACCCCACACGTAATTTCCCTCCGCTGAACGCTACTGTCTCGGCCCACATAGCGAATATGCCGTTCGGGTAAGTAGTCCCCGACAATATTCTGCAGATAAAGAGGGACCCTATGGAGAACTAAAGCCTCCCTAATTGCCTTCCAGGGCAGGGAGTTAAAAGCGTTGACAATAACGATACTTATCGCAAACACTACCCCAGCGCCTGACACTGCCTGATGCGACAGTGAGCAGACGCGCAGAAAACCTTGCAAGTACCAATGTGATGTGTGTGTTCTGATTATTTAGACACCATTGACACACGGAGAAGGAAAACATCATGAGGAAACCTAATCGCATCTATTGTATGTAGAACCTTAGAATAATTGTTACACCGGTGTAATTATTCTAAGTGTAGAACGCAGCTGCCGGAAACCGCACTATACTCGGACTTTTAATTCCATTCCAGATTTGACAATTTCAGTGTTGCAACGTTATGACACGTATTAAATAGTGACGTTGCGAAATTATTCGATGTGGAAATCGAATATTTCTGAATCGATTCCTCTCGTTTATAAATTTAATCTCGTAAACTAAGTTTATCAGGAAATAAAATATTTCTGATCCGATAATTTAGTTTTGACAATTAATTAACGATCTGAGACTTTTCTTTTGTAATTGTGTGTGAAATAAATAAAAAATGTGATCATGAAGGAACATGACAAATAAAACAGAAATTTTATAAATTGTCGCCGTCATCGCTATCGCTATCGCTGTTACTTTCTGTAACATTTATTATAAATTGTGTCTGTGATTTTTATTGTCAATTAACATATCTAGCTTAGGTACTCATTTTTCCTTTATTTTGACAACATGGGATACGCATTTAAACCATTCGGTAGCCGTAATTTTTTGAATGCCTTTCTGAACCTGATTCACTGATTGTTTATCGATTTTTGTGTTCATCACTACACTGTTATATGTGGTATCATTATTTCACAAAATGACAGTGGTCAATGTCAAATCAGGAATCGAATTAAAAGTCTGACTATAGTTTTCAGATAGGTCAGGAGCAACCTGCGACAGGTGACCGACGAACCCTTCAACAACCACTCAGAGACTGTAAATCTTGTCAGGCAGATAAAAAGGACGATATGCAGAGGGAGATTCTGTGGGCCTGCCTACTTTCTTGAAGAGAACAGCAGAAGATGGATATCAGAAACTTAGTAGGTAGTAAAGGGTTTTTATCCATTGGGGGTGTAACCTTAAAATTAGTTTCAATTTTATTTAGTTCCGATTTTGTTATTTTTGCTATAGGTTGCTTATTATCAATGCACCACGAGTGGGCGAGTGGCCGCGAAGCTATTATTTTTATAAACAAATAAATCTCATATATGCCGTGGCATAGCAGTCATAGACATAAATAAGAGAATTGTATAAAATTAATACTTTTTAATTTCAGTAAGTTTAAATAAATAAATGATTTTATAAAGGTAAGCAAGCAATATAATTATATCACATTTTTTAGCTATCAATAGACTTGTTAGTCAAGTCCGTTTCGTCTGCGAGGGAAAATCTTTTGCTCAGTTTGTTCTACTTTTTGAGCAACATTAGCCAATTGCTCAGATGCATCAGAAGCAGCAGCTCCACATGTTTCTGCCAGTTCTTGCACACCTTGAGATACCTAAAGAAACAGAAATTTTAATTAATTACAAACACAAACAACAAATTAATTAGTAAAATTTGTAAGTATGTATGTAGGGGGTAATCTTTGGAACCGCTGGTCGGCTTTCCAAAATTCTTTAACCGATAGAAAGCCATTCCTGAGTGCTATAGGTTATCACGCTACAGTTAAATGGAGCCGGGAAGCGGGTGAAACCGCGCGAGAGTAGCTAGTACAAAATAAAAAAACTAAATCATTAAACAAAAAGTTTATAAATATCCTTAAGCTTAACTCTTGTGACATTAGAACCATACCTTAGAACCATTATTTCATTAGAGATATTATTTGTTAATGAAATTATTAAATTTTTAACCTACTTAATGCTATAAATAAGAAAGTAAATAAGAATGCATTTTTATTTTCTTTCACTACACAAAATGGGCTAAAAAAATTTGGTTGAAATTTGGTATGTAGACAGGTGATGGGTATACAAAGGTTTATTTTATCAACATACCAAGCAGGCAATGCTGCAGGCAGAAGCTAGTATGATATACATTTAGTTATACTTACAGCGTCAGCCTCAACTTTCACTTCAGCTGCAGCAGCTTGCATGTTGTTCACTACCTCTTGCATCTGAGCTGTATGCTGAATAGGTTCAGATTCAAGGACTGATGCTGCCTGCAAATTTCAAGTTACATTCAGACAACTTTTTCCCTAATTGTTGTTGACATATCTATAAGTTGGTTTGTTTGAACACACTAATCTTTGGAACAAGTGGGTCGAAATGAACAGTTATTTTTGTGTTTGTTAGTTGATATATCTACCACAAGGAAGGCTAAATACTATAAAACATAACGCAACAATCTGTAGGAACCAAGTAGCGGGAGCAACCGCGCTTAAGTAGCTAGTATACCATAGACATGATTCATCCTTTAAAGCTCCCTTTAAAATTTTGCCAAGTATTTAATATTCCTCTAATTAACTGAAGTTTTTACCTGTTTACAGCGATGCATACAGTGACAGTGATGCTTGATGACAGGCTCCGCAGCTGCAACCTCATGCATATGCATTTCATTTTGCTGCATCTAGAAATTTTATCAAAGTACTATGTTTAGTAAAAAACCCAAGAGTAACAAAATCCAATCTACAGTTGATGTTAAGTCAATAGGATAAAGAGGAGAGGACGAAATATACGCTGTTATGTACTTGCAATTCTGTTGTGTATGCCTAATACTTACGTTCTCAACGAAATTCGGGTCAGTGTAGTTGTTCAGTTCAGACGCCATGGGCATTGCCTCCGACAGTTTCTCATGACCAGCCGTGGCATTGTTGATAGCCTGCGCAGTATTGAGCAGATTCGCAGTAGCTGTATCTCCTTGCTGTCCATCAATAGGAGCATTTACTGCCAAACCAAGTTTAGCTTCCAACTGCTCAATTCTGCTTTCTAGGATAGAAATGGGATCCATTTTTCAAGTTCTAATGCCTATAAAATTATGTAAAAATATATAAATAAACTACAGAACCATTCAAAAGCTTACTAAATAAAATAAATGAAACTCGCAAAATTCGAATATAGGCCCACAAGTATTATTTTTTTGACTGACTGCAGTCAAAATTGACATTGACATATATTGTTGCCAGTCCCAAAAGTGTGTGTCTTCTTAGTATTTGCAAGAAATCTATTTTTAATAGTGTCTTAATCGTGAATGATTAAAAATTAATTGAAAATATGATTTATTTTTAATATTGTATCATGAGTTCATTTTGTGCAGTTATTGATTCGTGCAATGATTGAATAGTAAGCTTACTATATAGAATAGGCTTAGTCGTAGACAGGATATAACGTCAAGAATGACGAGACGTCTTCTAAAGACATGTTGTCCGTTTTCGTTTTTTGCATTGTTGCTATTTTACTAACTGTCACTGTCAATGTCAAATAGTTAAAAAAGTACCTACTGAGTGACAGTGAATCAATTGATCATTTGAATGTTGATATTTTTATGTTTACAACAGTTTTTGAGTGTAAAAAGTAAATATTAGAATTCTAATCTCAAGATATGGATGAAGAATTAGGTGGACTGACGGAAGATGACTTCTTGTTGCCTCCTGTTAAATACGAGTGTAAGTAGTATCGCTAAAAAATGTAGGAACCGTAATCAAAATATAATCTCGCATAATTCGATCCATTATATTATTTAAGTATTGTTGTAAGGTATATTCATTATTTTGTATTCATATTTCAGACTTGGACCATACCGCTGATGTCCAGTAAGTATATTAAATTAAGTATTTAACATTATTAATTTAACATGATACACTTGAGAATATGATGCAATGTGCACATTTATAATTCTTATCTGATAATGTCATTAAAAATATCTCAATTATAACGTTGCTGCAAGACATAACAAGATTGCTATTTATTCACATTTTAATATCAATAATTATATCTTGATATTTCTAGTTTTTGTAAATCTTTGAGGTTATTGCACAACATAAGAAATGTTATTTAAATCTATTAGTCATAACTAACGTCTGCGGTTTCTCCCGCAATATCAGACAAAAACTAGCATATGTATTATATTTCAAGCTATAATATATTCCAGAGACATATTTCCAATAGTTATGTTTTTATTTTATGAGAAAGGGAAATAAACAAACATCCAACTATCTAACCAATTAACCATAGTAAAAGTCCCTATTTCTGTTGTACATGTTTACTTTGATGAAATAAATATTGTCTCTAAGTTAAGCCACAAACCATACCCTATCTAAAATGAAGACAAGGTTTATGAAAACAAATAAAATCATGATTTCAGGTTACATGCATGGGGCGACACTCTGAAGGAAGCATTTGAGCAGTGTGGTATGGCTATGTTTGCATACATGACAGAAATGCCATATGTAGAGATCAAAGAAGTACACACAATTGAAGCTAATGCAGATGACCTGATGGGCCTGCTCTATCACTTCCTTGATGAACTGCTTTTCCTATTCTCAGTTGAACCATTCTTAATATGTAAAAAGTTAGTGATAACAGAATTTAATACAGAAGAATTCAGAATAGTTTGTAAGTGCTACGGTGAAGAGTTTCAGCTTGGCAAGCACCCACAGGGTACTGAAGTTAAAGCAATCACTTACTCGGCCATGCAAATAATTGATGAACCTAAGGATAATAAGTATGAAGTGTTTGTTATCATTGATATTTGATAAATTATATATTTTGTTAGAACACATGGGTTTCTATTACTTTACCACATAATTTTTTCTTTTCTCTCTGGTGTGTGCCAGTATCAGTTGTCCCTTATACCTACTCACACTTTAAACTCGTAGACATTGGATATTACACTATATAAAAGCTTATTTATTTATTTGGTTGATAACCAGTAAAACAAGCTGTAATATCATTTGGTATACAGTCCAGTTTGGGCTTGGCTTCTGGCCAGAACTGCAGCTTGTACCAAATTTCTTAGATATTTTTTAAGTCGTCCTTCACTTTGTGGATTACAAAAAGATTTGTTTACTGCGGAAATCGCTCCTCCCACACGTTTCACGTTGTTAAGCCACTACGCCAACTTTTCAGTCATTTCTAGTAATTTACTTTTCTTCCCTTTTTTCCCAGGCAATTTAAAATGGGTAGATTCTTACTAACTTAAAACACTTCCTGATCAAGTCTTTTCGAAACATAATTACCGTATATACAATATCCAAAAAGATGCCTAATTTTCCGTTCGAAGAAAATCGCGTCCACGGTTTGGGCGCCGGGGCACTACCGCGCCAAATTATTGCGTAGCGGAATCAGCTCCGGCGCGATCTTACGGCAGAGTTGAAGCAACGTCGGTCGCAACCGAGGGCCGGAACGCTGTTATAGCAGCGGTTTTTTTTGTGAGGGGAAAATCATCAAATGACTTCTCCCGCCCAGAGCCGGGCGGGAGGAAGTGTCAGACTCTTACTGACTAAAAACCTCCCTGTTCCTTCTCCTGCTCTGGACCGACGTCGCGATGCCTCATTGCGCTTACCCCGCAACCCCGGCCGAACATCAGCCCTATAGGGCCCTGTCTGTGGTGGTCTATTAGCTCTTTGAGGCGCGCGTGGAACGTTACCGTCCGTACGCTCGGGCGTTATAGCAGCGGTAAGACTCCTCTTTAAGGAGTGGCTTGAGAAACGTCATGACGTGCTCACCTTTCGCCTGACGCTTACCGGGCACGGTAACTGCGGTAGGTTCCTGTTTCGAATCCGGCGAGAGGAAAAGCCCGAGTGCCGCCTTTTTTTGTCATCTGATGGCTTCTCCCGTCCAGGGTGAGGTGAGAGGAAGTGTTAGACTCTTACTGACAAGAAATCCTCCTGTTCCGTTGTCGTTTGAAAACAACCAATAGGCCACGGTGGAGTATACCTACGGTAGCGGTGTGCCCTGCTTGGGCTGAGCACCCTCATGGAAGTGATCGGTGGCGGCGACCTCTCGCGTCCGTCTTTAGTCGAGGTCATGGTGCGGCGCGAGAAGAATTGGGAAGCCGTCTACTCTTTCTACGAAGCAGTGATGCTCGCAAACGAGGAGGCGGAGCGCGTGATATATCTTGGTTTAAATATATCGATATACGATCTGTCCTCCTCACGCCCCAACCGCCGCAGTTGGTAGTAGGCGGCACTCCTGGCGTCGGGGTTCGAGAGATGATCTCCTCATTTAGTATAGGTGAAAATTAAATAAAAAATCTTCTCTCATTACAGACATCAACTACGTCTACAGTAGGTTTATCAGAAGCCATATCTCTTGTACCTAAGCAGGTCGATTTTAGAAAACCAACCTGTTCCTTCTTGTGCTTTAGCAATACTTCATAATAGTATCATTAAGTACCTACTGCTACTCTACTACTACTTAATAATGTTAACAATACTTACCTAAGGTTATGTATAAACTTGCGGTCGACGAGTAAGGGTAGCTCGCCGCCCCACCAGAACCATACCCGAGCGTACGGCGTCGGTATTGTGTTCCAATAGACCACCACAGACAGGGCCCTATAGGGCTGAAGCCGGCTAAGCCGGGGTTGCAAGGCAAGCGCACTAAGTCACCGCGGTTTCGGCCTATAGCAGGAGAAGGAACGGGAGGGCTATTAGTCAGTAAGAGTCTTCCACTCCCTCTCGCCTCACCCTGGGCGGGAGAAGTAATTTGATGACAAAAAAGATGTCACGGGAGAACATCCGTCTCGGTAAAATACACAATAGGTCCTACCAAGGTAAATGTTTCGCATTTTCTTTTTTAATTTAGGTTCTTTTTATGATTACTACGCCAAATGCCTACAAAATTATTAGGTAAGTAGGTACGCCCAAAAAATCGCCCTATAAGTATATACTTTATTTTACAGTTATACTGTAAAATAAAGTATATTTATATTATTGCTCGCAATTAGCAATTACGGCGATGTCTCTGGTATTGCAAGTTTACTTGAATCAAAAGCGGTCGCCTCTGCCCTTGAATACTTTCTTTCTTCATTTTGGGATCTTTAGGCCTGAGGGTATGACACGAAGTTCGAATTATATCTACTGCTTTTTATATTCTAAGGGAAATAAAATGGTGTCTAGGAAATTTAAATAATAAACCGTAATGATTGCAAGTGCCCGCTTTTTCAATACAACTGTGAGTACAACTGATGGATAAATTAATTTGACGTTGGTTTTTTTTTATGTAATAGGTCGGCATCCGAGCAGACGGATTACCTGATGGTAAGCAATCAGCGCCGCCCATGGACACCCGCAACGGAGGAGTTACGAGTGCGTTGCCGACCTTTTAGGGATTAGGGATTTGGAGATTTAGGGATTGGGGGAGGGGAAGGATTGGGCTTCCGGTAACCTCACTCACACGGCGAAACACAACGCTATGGTTGTTTCACGTCGGTTTTCTGTGAGGCCGTGGTATCATTCCGGTCGAGCCGACCCATTCGTGCCGAAGCATGGCTCTCCTACACTTATTATTGTTCATGCTAAATAATGTCATAATAATAAATCATATCAAACAATTAAAATATCTTGACTTGGCTCACAAGGTTGTTGACATGTGGAGTGCGGACTCAGCTATCATTTTGCCGATAGTTGTGTCGGCAAATGGGTTGGTCCCGAAAAGCCTCGAACACCAACTTAAGCATTAAGGGCCTCATACGAAACGGCACGTATTGTGGGGAGATGTCTGTCTCTGGAGCCCTAACTGCCGGATATTGGGCTGACCCCTATTTTTATATTTAAAATATTGTTTTATTTTATTTTTATAGTAATATAAAAAAATGTGTAATGTGTGTGTTTAAATAATGACGTGTGATGATTTTTCCCTCACAAAAAAAACTATAGGTAGCTACAGTATTATACGAGTGCTTGGATTTCTAATGAATGCATTCTGTATTATCTCTATAATACCAAAGTATAGTAAGTACGTAGTAGTACCTAAATAAAAATATTGCAACCAAGTTCCAGGGTCGGTTGGAGATTTAATCAACATGTAAATGACTGACCAGCAGGTAACCCGTCAGTCCGTTTGCAGACCTATCCCATACGAAAAAATAGTTTTAGTAATTATTGTGGATAGATTTTCCAATAATTTCCTCAATTTTGTCACATAAAGGCATCAAAGAGGTCGTCGCACTCGTCTGAATGAGAGCCATTTGAAAAATCAATTCCTAAATGCCAATCATGGAGTAAGAACAAAGATATTACTCCGTGATGCCACCTATAGTCTTAAATTTCATACTAACTTACTTACCTAAGTATGTACCTATTTATTCTAATTAATTTATGTATAAGTACAAGTACCCGTTTGTAACTTGACTTCACTTTTTAGCGCTATTATCACATGCGAGTAAGATCCTTCTCAAAGTCATCAGCTGCCGCCTTAACTACTTTTTGAGTCGACAGATATCTGAAGAACAAGCGTTGTTAAGGGCAAAGGAACACAGGAACAAATTTGAACCTCCACCAAATCTTGTCAAACAATTACGTTAGTGAGCCTAAAACATAATCATTAATTTAGTATGTCTCACGAAAGTTATATTAAAAAAAGTCCGCTAAATCATTGACAAAAGTCGGGAATTTAACAACCCTGTGATCCTATGCGTTATTGACTACACAACAGCTTTTGACTGTGTGCAATGGCAACATCTGTGGATTGTGTTACTGGAAATGGGAGTGCCTGAGCATCTTTCATCCAGCATCCATTTCATCGGCTTTAATCCAGAGTCTGTACACATAAAAATCGATCTTTCGTTAGGGTAGGCACCAAATACTCTAACATGTTCCAAACGAAAAAAGGTGTGAGGCACGGTTGCATCCTGTCCCCAGCACTTTTCAACAACTAGGTATGGAGAGTACATAATTCGGAAGACTATCGAAAACTGGGAGAAGGGATTTCCTTTAGGTGGAAAGAGATTGTCTAATCTCCGATATGTTGACGATACCGTTCTTCTGGCAACATCCATGTAAGATATGACTGAACTGTTCCAAAGACTCGAAACTAAAAGTGGCAACATTGGTCTCACAGTGAACAGAGCGAAAACTAAGGTGATGATAGTGTATCGAGTCGGAACACTAACAAATATCACCTGCAACATTCCTGGCATTAATATTGTCAGTCACTACACTTACCTCGGCTCCCAAATCTGCAACGATGGCAGCTGTGTCCCCGAGATAAAGAGACGCATCGGGATGGCTAAAGATCTAAAGATGCTATGACCCATTTGAATAACATTTGGAAGAAGGGAGAAATTGGCATTCAAACTAAGATCTGGCTGACCCGAGCATTCCCTAGTATTCCCTATATTTCTTTATGAAGTAGAAACGTGGACGATCTTAACCTGAGAACGACAAAGGATAGATACATTCGAGATGTGGTGTTGGAGGCGATTATTCCGAATACCTTGGACTGCTTAACGTACCAATGTGTCTATCCTGAATCAAAATAAAAACCCGCTTGTCAACCATATGCCAACAACGCATTCTATCCTATTTCGGCCACATAGTGCGCGGAGGCGATGAAAGTCTGGAAAAACTGATTGCCGTTGGGAACACCGAAGGCAAGCGATCGCGTGGTCGTTCACCAACCAGATGGACAGATCAAGTGAAAGATTCATCGTCCTCTGAATTTTTCGCGATAGTGGGAGATGCGCTGAATCGAAACCGGTGAGGGACGGACTATAAAAATTCACTTTTCTAATCACCCAATTTCCTGGGCCGACAGTCATTATGTTATTTTCCTGACCCGTCTATCGAGCCTAGTGTCCATTACTGTCCATCCCGATTACAGCGTGTGGTAGTTCGCTGCTTCCTTTTTTTATTGGTTATGTCGGCAAACTAAAACTAGCATACACATTACCTTATATGTGATATATCTGGGTTTTGAAGACTAGGGTAATTGGAAATGGGATGCGTAAGTAGCCTCCGGTAACCTCACACATACATACGGCCGGCGGGAAAACCTAAAAAATTCGCGATCTGCAGATGCTGATTATTTGTAGCACTAGCTCCTTTCGCGCAGTTTCAGGTAGCTAGCAGCTGTAGGTATAGGACTAAGGAACATTGTAGCTCAGTGTAAACATTTTGATATTCCGTCGTTTCACACGTGAAAAAAACATTATACTTACGCATGTTTTTTTTTGCTAAGTTTTTGTGTGGGCTTTTGCTTAGAATAAAGTGTGGGAGGCCATGGCCATGCTTCCACGAATTGGGCGGCTCGACCGGAGTGATACCACGGTCTCACAGAAAATCGGCGTGAAACAACCACAGCGTTGTATTTCCCCTCCCCCAATCCCTAATCCTCAAAAGGTCGGCAACGCACTCGTAATTCCTCTGTTGTTGCGGGTGCCCATGGGCGGCGCTGATTGCTTCGCGCTTTGCTGTTAGCTCGTTTGCCGACCTATCACAAAACAAAATATGTTAAGTACTTACATGGATGGACTAGGTTATGACAGACGTATAATTTCGCTCCGAAAAACATTCTATCTTCTTATACAGAAAACTAGGACTACTAAATATTACGAACGTATTGATTCTGATCATGTTGCGTGTCATTGAAGAGTGGAGTAAGTGCGCAGTCGGTTCACTCATCATCATGCTTAGCATTTCATCCGAATTAGAATTGTTAAAATATCATAGAAAATTAAAAACTATTTCATGTATTTAGGTACCGTATATTTTAAAACCCCAGCGTGTCATTTAATATGTACTACTCACGCCGTATTATTAACTTTACTAGCCAATTGATTCGTTTTATATCCTATTAATCTAAAATAAAATAATACTAATCGGGTATCATTATGTTAGACTAGAATTTAAGCTTGAATTTAAATTTCTGAACGTTTCTTGTCTATGATAGTGATATCTCTTTCTCTGTATACGTATAATCACTTCCGTTTTATTCGCGGTTTCACTGATGTCCGTATCCGGTTTGGAAAGTAATTAATTACTAATTTAATAAATTATACATTTATATTTTATTTATTCGGTGCAAATCTAGTTCAAAAATAAATGTAAATTTTACTAGAATTTCATAAGTATTATATATTTTACAATTATAATTCTAATTTGCTTAGCATAACTTTCTCATTAAGCTGTTTACTTACGGTTGCGATCGATGTTTAGTTATTACAATACATCAAAGCAAAATAAATGTTGCAATAAAAATTGTATAAAATTCTTCAAAGTTTCTTAAGTTATCTTTTTCAGTAAGTTTCTTTCAGCTGTAAATGTAAATAAACTGACAAAAAAATATTATAGACGTATACGATTCAATTTAGATTGGCTGTAAGTTTATAAAAATTACATTCAAAGCTGTAAATTTTACTGAAAGTTGATACCTAGCTTTATACACAAAAAAATGCACTGTACTCAAAAGAATCACAGAATTTTGTTTATTTAATTAATAAAATGTTGGATTGTCGTTAATAATGTCGTAGTAGGTATTCATTATTAATCTGATCTTTGTACAAATAATAAAATGTAATTCCCTATTTGGAATACCCTTTTATCATTATTATTCAATTATATTTTTTTACGATGGACGTTGAGAAATTGCGAGAAATTTAAAATTTATTTTTACTAAAAACAATAAAGAACAATATTCATAATATAGTCAATACTTTATGATTGATTAAAGAACCTGTATACATAATCAAACATAAAATATTAAAAAGCGGGTATATTGATAAAAATATTAATATTTAAACAGCATATTTGTAGTTAGGTCTCTTTACAACACGCCACTAACTAACTATGAAGACGCTTCGGTCCTCCGAGTCAAACCGGTCGAACAATGGAAATTCAAAAATTCGTTATATTTTTTATGGCTTCTCCAACGAGGGGAGGAATTTGGATCGCGAAGCGGCGTCCGCTAGGGGTTGCTCGCTCGGTTGCTTCGCGCCTGCGCACGTAGTTCGCGCCACTGCTACGTCGCTTGCAAGCCAGATGTTCTGAAAAGCTTCCTGTCGCCGTTTCAATGCTCCGCATTTTTATCTAATAAGTTATTGTAAAATGTGGACTAGGACCTTTTTAATATTTTCTTTTATGAGTGAAGTAATCAGTGAATAAATATCATGTGTATTGGATAAACTGTGTGTAGTATATTAAAATTATCGAGCGTCTCGATGTCCACGAGTTCACTCGGGACCAACAAAGCGGCGGACATTTTATTTTGAGTACTCGATAATGTAGCGTTCGCGTCGAAAACATTAATGTCGTTTTATGGTTATAAATTCGGATATCGTTCGCTTACACCTTTTGTAAGTATTATTATTTCACAGTTGGTATTTAGTGCGTAATCCTTGAATGTGTACACTTAGGTTTAGAAGCGGTTATGCCCAGGTATCACCGCTAGGTTGTCGATATTTTGGGGAAAATGTCGTTGAAAAAAGTGACGTAAGCAAAACTGGACATCTGGAAGTGTCGCCTTGGACCTTTGGTATTAAATTCAGCCTGTTAAACTTGCTATCGACCCACTCCGTTTTGGAGGCTTTTTGCTCGTGATTTCCGCGCGCACGGCGCCCCTAACCTCTTCACTAATTGAATTGTGATGATTGTGGAGCGTAATTGTAGAAAAATGGTATGTTGATTCATTTGGTAATATGTTATTTATGACCATTAACAGCGATGCCGAGAGGGGTGAAGCGAGGGCCGGCGGAGGGCGAGGCCGAGGTGGTGGTTCGCGCTACTGCGTCTCCTTCGCATACCACGCTATTGGACGACAGTCCTAGCCAGCCCATTAGCTATCACCTGCTAGACCACGGCTATGGCGCCACGCCACAGCACCAGATCAGGCGCGAGGCGCCTACGGCACCGCCGAAGACGTCTGAAGTAAGTTACCTTGGAATAAAGTTTTCACTCAACCAATCCAATTTCAAGTAATGAATTTACAAAATCTATTAAGAAAGTACCTGTTTTTTATAATATTTAGAAAAAGTGGGTAAGGCTTGTCAATTTATTAAGCACTTAGTGTAAATCTGACTTTATTATAGTTACTAGCAATTGGATTGAAGTAGCAAGTCTTAAGTTCCGCAGATCCGCATGAAACTGGTAAGTGGGGCGGAGTTGTTGTTAGTGATCACATAACTTACAGGGATTAGTGCTAATGAACTTACATCAACATCTACAATAAAACTAAATTATCACTAGTTTCTGAATAATTCATGACACTGATGCTGTATGATGTGGCATTGGGATAGATGTCAACTTAGCTGACATGCAATATTGTCATTACAAATGGAAGTCAGTTTTGATATGCAGAAGTCATCATATCAGCCACAAGATGGTCATAGCTGCTAAATATTATTGTTATCTATCAGTTTTTAAAATACCCTTTTATCTAATGTTTGTCATCTTAGTTGGTTTATGACATAGATTTATCTGACCCTTCAACACAGCAATCGGGAAGTCTTTACTTTTATTTCAAGTTATCTATCATTCATAACTTTTATTATTCAGAAATCTAAAATCATGTCACTTGTTTCTGGGTGAATTAGTATTAAGGCCCTGTTGACACTTTACTGGAGATTTTCACACTAGATTACATCACAAGCTCTGGTATAGCATTTGAGTTTTCTTTTTAAATATATAGTGACATTATATAACAATAATAAAATGAATTGACTAAGTGTCATTGAGTGTGATACATCTTTTATTCAATAACATAAATTATTTGAGTGTCACTCACATACTATTTATTTTACTGAACTCGCTTGAGTTTGAAATAGTTAAGATTTATCAAGGACTGGGTTACTTGGGATATCTATTATTTCTGTAAATATAGATTTACAGGTATTCATTCATAGGGCATGGTGTTGTAGAAATTATAATTGACTTTGTTGATGTGAAAAATAATCATCTTGATAAGATTTTGCTGTCACTAACATGCTATACTACCAGTGACTAATATTATACTAATGATACAACCACCTTGACTATTCAATGATTGGGCTAATAAACATATGTTTTAAGGTTAGGTTAGTAGCAACCAAAATTAACAACTCATTATTGGATAGTACCTATTTAATTTTTTTTACTTGTAAGTCAAAGTCACATACTAAATGTAGGATTTGACAGAGTAAAGCATAAAGGTGAATAATGGAATTCTAGATTGAAAAACTTGATTTATTTAATAGTTAGTGGTAGTGTGGTACTTATGCATGTTGAAATTATCAACTGATTTGTATTTTGCAGTACAATTTCATATAATATATATTAAGTGATTAAAAAAAACTTCCATGAAATACACCATATTACAAAAAAAAAACCCAGTAAAATGCAGGATTGATTGAACTTAGACTAAAAAATTACAATAATGGGGTCATTGGTCTCTGTAGGGTCAATGTACTGGACAAATAGAATTCTGGAAGCTCAAAGAGGATGAGAATGGACCACTTTTTATAATTTAATTATTCTTTAATTAGAAAAGGTGTACAAGGAGTGCTGTATGCATATTTATCATCAACTAAATTACTAAGGAAGCCTTTTCATTGCATAAACCTTTGCCTTAACCAATGGGAGGTCACATTGTTAAAAATTACTTAAAGCAATGTTAATTGAATGCTTGTTCCAAGTACAATTTGGCTTCTTTCTCCTCGTTAACTTGTTTCTACTTATCACTCATTAATTGGAAGATTTTTATGACGTTATAGATATCAGCATTAATCTCAAAAGTTACGGAAAACATAACGTAATTTTATTCTGCAGTTCGTAATGACTGTGACGAATCAAAATGGCGGATCCTAGACGACATCATTTCGTGTGTGTAACGGTGGCGAGTACACTAAAAAGTGTTTAGTCGTGGGACCGGGACCCTACGCGGGACCGGGCCATCGGCCAATCACAGGGCAGACGCTACACGAATTCTGCTCAACAATTTCTCCGACTCTCCGACCAATACTTTAAACAACTTCCATCTAAATTATATAAATCTAATCTTTCCAACTGTTCCTTAATTATTCCGATTTATTTATTTTAAGATAAAAATAATACAGTCTTTGCGATTGTGTTATGATAATTTAATAACAATTAAACCTGAAAGGTAAAAATGTAGGTACGTTAGTGGCATTGCAACTTATTTTTATCGATAACGTGTCGATAATAGATTCACTTGTTATTCTAACGGTACAGGAATGCTGTCGTGTTTATTAGGTAAAAACCTAATAAACCTATCTTTATTAAATTTAACTTGAAAATAATATTACTTCCAAATATTTGTAACGGTTACACTGTTCTTCTGCCTGTTGCGTAACATGTTGATTATTATTAAAACAAAAAAAAATGGCGGTCGCTTCACGCCAAATTTGACGGTGAACGTTGCGCTTCTAGTGGGAAACTTCGCCTGCACTTTCGATACAAATAATTACATACAAACTTTATTATAGGAACCCTTTTCTTAATGTATACAATAAAACCTTCGACAACGCGTAATTTTTAAAACAGTTCATGATTTTAGGCTACTTTGTAGTTCATTTTTCATTTTAATTTTTTGACTTAAATAAATATGAGAATATCTGCAACCGTTCGGTTATAGGAAAAAACAATTAGGTTTCAAAAACTTGAAGTTAATCAAAAGACTGGTGCTGTTCGTTCGTCATACAGTTCGTCTGCTTTGCGAGTGCTGAAGAAGTACTATTTGAACGTTGCGTTAGGTGGCACGTTATAAACTAATAATAATGTAATTTTTTTATGTCAGCTGGAGGTATAACCTTAAACTTGTCGAGCTACGCAGAGCAGCGGGCGGCTAATGTAGGCAGGCACATATGTTAGCAGTATATCATGTGTAGAGGCGTTCACCCGGCGCCATGTGGGTCCAGCTCTAGAGCACCACGTGACCAGGTACTCACTTCCTGTCATCACACTTGTATTGCACGTTTTGGGTCATTGTCCTTTATCTATAAGGTCTAACCCTAACGTCTCGTGCGAACTTTGATCTTTCACCAAGAATAAGGAGATCCCTTTTATATTATTTGGGTTGATTTAATTTATCCAATAGCACAATAGATTTTTTCCTTCGTATCAAGTTAATGTAATTTATTCGATCCCACCGGTTGCATATTTATTATTATTACGCGGCACACGTTTAGGGATGTATTGATGATGCGAGCAGTTTTGCGCTAACAGAAGGGATGTTTTGTCTGCTTAGATATCGAACCTCGTGTCACATCTGCTCCGATTTACTTGCCGTGCTTAGTACGGGACAAAGACGCGCGGGACCCACAAATCCGGCAAATTAACAATAGCGCCTAGTTCCCTATTAATAATAATACAAATATTCCAAGATAAGAAATTGCCGTTCTTTCGCCAGAGGTCCCTTCCGAGAGCTCGCCGGCTTTTGTGTTGATTCTAATTTATGTCATGTATTGTTGTTACTGGGTACCCTCCCCACACACTTCCTTTAGGGGCTTTGAGCCCGTTGCTAGTAAGAATTGAAATTGTTGCATGAGCTTATCGAAAATGCTTCGTGCATCTTCCTCGCTACTCTCCGTGACAACTTTAGTGTGCTCTATTTCTTTGTTTTTTTAATATATCCGCAACTAGTGTTTGGTCATAATTTGTCGATTATTATCGTCGTTGCTATTAATTAACATGGGGTCAACGTACAGTTTAGAAATGGGAACAGTAGTTATAAATTGTTCCGTTGAAGTGTTGGGGAGTGTGAAGTAGGCGTTTTAGTTCTTGCAGTGTAGTGAGTGATGTTCAATTGAAGAGATTAGCAATGACTTACTTAGTGTTAAGAGTGAGTACTATTTGTACAAAAGGTGATACGCACAGCCCGGTTTACATTGCAATGTATGCACTATTGTCTATCAGTTTCGTCTAGTGTGAACAATAACTGAAGTTGAATCGTGAAACAGTGTGCACCAAGCTTAAGTGGCCGAAGTGTTAACGTGCTTTTCATTTCTTATCAAATGGTATTGTGGGAAATGCGTGACATAATGGGGGTAAGTTGGGATAATTAAAACATAATCACGTTGTAATTATTTATGTGTAACATAATACAAAAGAAACATAATGAACTAATTGATAAGGACTGTACGCGCGCGTACGTTTGTTTAATTAGCAGGTGCATGTGTGTTGGTAATTACGTGGCTATCTAGTGTAGTATTGTAAATAGATATCGAATCTCATCGTTTGACTTGTTACATGATTAAGTCAGCATAACTTGATCACATTTGCCGTTACTACATTGTTCATAAAATATTTTCTACGTATTTTTAATCGATAAACGGACCGCTATATTCTCTGAATTCCGTGTTCTATTTTAAAGGTTATCGATGGCGCTTAGAACTTTAAACTTTTTGTGACTGTACATTCTTACGTCAAGAACAATGCACGACTTGTAGATTATCGATTCATTACGCATGAAACAATTATATCCGTGTTTTTCCTGTGCATGTTTAGGGCTCGCGGCGCCTTGCCATACCCATTTAAACATTCTTTTATCAATTTATTGTGTAGGTTCGCTCGTAGTCGATAGGAACGAATAGGGAAGCCATGTGCAAAGCTGTGCAAAGCTGTGCTCTATTACACGGCATGGATCTATTCACTTTTTTATAACTTTGGAAATAAAGAAGCATTTTGACTTAAAACTATCCCTACAAATTTAATTTAATACTTGGTTGTCATTTGAGGTTACAATGAATACGAGATTTCAAAAAAGCTTTAAGTCAAGTACAAGTAGCTCTACGAAAATACCATAAAATATGCAATGCATTAGTGAAATGTATGTCTTTGATGCCGTTTTATGTAATTCATTATTCAGGTATGTCGTACATCATGTTTAAGTAAGTAACAAAGGGTTTGGGTCGAAAAGGCTCTTTAAAAAGCGGCGTTGGAGAATGTATAGAGTAGTGTTCGGTGTCTGTTCTAACTAGTCATAAACTATATTGAGAAACCAAGTGAAAAGTAAACGAACAGGTAGTCTTGCATAGTATAGAAATAAAAACTGACCATCATTAGTTCATTACCTAGTACTTATTATATGTATGTATATTGTTGGAATTAATATTTGACAATTAAGGTCCTTTTTACACTAACGGCTTAATAATCTTTCCTCAATTACTTTACCAACATAATTATTAACTCAATGATATTAACAACTGAATATGATAGGAACAAGATTTTGATGACGTGATATCCACATTAAGCCGCCGTTAAATGCTGCCAACTACTAATTCTCATATTCCATTATTTTATCAGTTAGTCCTTAGTTTTGTATTTATCCGTTGTGACATTCCTTTGAAAGCGATCACAGAAACTGCACTGGCATGTGCATATTTGCATATTACTTACTAAAATTTACGTTACGTTATTATTTTATTCTGTTGGGGGATACTATGGTTTTCTTGACAAGGCGGCGTATTGCGCGTCTCATATTTATTCGCCATAACTAGACCAATACTTTCTTATGTACTCATTATAGTTACTTCTCCCCTTTTGTAACAACAGTATTTGTTGTTGTTTTCCTCAGGCGGTGAAAAGAAGACTGAACTTGAGTGAGAGCAGTTCCGGCAGTCAGGGTCACGTGGTGCCCATGAAAGCCGACTTCAAGACGCCGAAACAGAAACGCGTCAAAGTCCTCACGCCGTACAGTCGACCGTCCAGTTCTATGAAAAAGTACACCGAACGTTCCAGGTACTTGTCTCAGTGAGAGGTAAATTTCCATTTTAGAGAGTAGCTTTTTATGTAGTTAAATAGAAGAGTCCGGAGTCTTTGAAAAAGTGCTCGCCGATACAAAAGCCGGAGTTTTTTTGTTAAACACCTCAAAAGAAGTGGTCAAAATCGAGTGACGTGTTGAAGATACGGAATAATTGCAGACTGAAATATTACGAACATTATGAGTGGAGTAACAAAGTGACAAGCATCGTGATATCGACTTCAGAACGCTTTCCATCAGCAAGTTAAAGCTATTCATGAAGCTTGATTTCGCCCTGCTGATAATGAGAAGAAGAGAGCGAATGGGTACAGCTACTTCAGAGAAAGACTAGTGCGTTTTCGTTGTAATGGTCCGCCTTTTTCTAAGTATCATATTATTTGTTTCAGGTTTGACACATCATTAGGTTTACTCACAAAAAAGTTCGTTGCATTGCTGAAGTCTTCACCCAATGGAGTCCTAGACTTGAACATAGCGGCAGAACATTTATCGGTCCAAAAACGTCGTATCTACGACATCACAAACGTTTTAGAGGGTATAGGAATATTAGAAAAGAGATCCAAAAATAATATACAATGGAAATATGGTAAGTGATCTTAAGTGAAAATAAGTTTATCCTGTATAATATTTAATATATAACAAATAAGTTACAAGAACCATTGGAGGTTACAAGACCAACAGTGAAAACATAAAAAATAAATGTATGGACCTGTTTTAAAATTTCAATGCAATGCACTTTGGGATGCGTGATCCCCACGGTTACGTGTGAACTAAATTAAAATAAATAAAGTCAACGCCATATTTATTCCATTGTGAGAACTTAGTTTACGGGCAAGTACGAGTTTCAGTTACCTGCGCATAAGTGTAGTTTGCATAAAATTGATGCGACGAAATCATGGTGATTTATAATTTTTTAGTAATTCCTAACTTGGTTCCATTATAGGAATGTCATGACGTACATTCATCAAATATTGAAATCGTTCACTTGTTATTGGAGTGGTATAAATTTTATAGACCATAGGTATGTGTTAAAATCAGTGCCTGACTAATCTGGTTTTGTTATTGAGTTTGGAAAAGTTAAGATTTTTAATGTTAGAATATAAGTTAGAATAAGTCGCCCAAAGATGGCTAGCCAAATACTGACTTAGCAACTAAAGGTGTGAGAGTAAGGCCTCGTTTATGGAGACGCGGTGGCAGTGCGTGGCGTGTCTCTGTGAAGGAGGGCTAAGTAAGGGCGTGGTGTCGCAGGCGTGGGCGGCGCGGAGGGCGCGGGCGAGGCGTGCGCGGCGCGTCGGTTGCGGCGCGAGGTGCGTGCGCTGTCGGCGCGGCAGTCGCGCGTGGCGCGCGCCGTGGCCGTGGCCGAGCACGCCCTCAGCGACCTGTCGGCGCACCACGGCGCGCGCGCCTACATCACCTACGCCGACCTGCGCTCCATCCGGGACTTCCGCAACCAGACTGTCATACCCATCAAGGCGCCACCTGACACACGCCTCAGCGTTAGTTAAACCTGCTACATTTTCACCTCCCTATTTTCTACCCTTTATCTTAAAGAAAACTTTGTCTCTTTTTTTAACAAGCACGGTCCTCTATACTATGATTTTCTCCAGAGCAGTGGGTGCGGTTTACAAACATGTAATTTTACATGCACATCACACCCAGACCTGGAACAACAATTTGTGGATCTTACAGAGTTGTTCGTGCTAGAATCGAAATTAGCTACACGTTGCACGGCATCCAGTTGCGCAGCCACAGCGCCAACTGTGCAGCCATGATATTTATTTCATGTTAATTTAATTTATTTTTTAAATCAGCAGCTACATAAGATGCTCCCAATTTATTACAGGTACCTCATCCTGACGAGAAGGGCTACATGATACACTTGAAGTCCATGTCGGGAGAAATTGAAGTCTACCTCTGTCCAAAAGAACGCCCTCCTTCACCTGCTACATGTAAGTTACAATAACAATAGTTCCATATCTATCATAAACAACCAGGGTTGCTCACTGTAATCAATGAAGCAAAGCAACTTTAGACTTTCATTTTAAACCAATCAGAACAATACACCATGTTAGGACAAAAATACTACAAATACCATCCTAGCTCTTAACTGGTCTGGTATAGTCACCATTTAAATTTTTTCATTCAAACTAGAAATTCTGTTTATGACTAACAATTAAGAAATCTGAAATATTTAGAGTATTTGTTTTGTTGTTATAGCATCAGGCCCACTGCCGGCGGATCCGCTGTTAGAAGACAACAAGGCACTGCTAGCACCACTCATAGCGTTACTGCAGTCTAAACCCACAAGCTCCATCACCGCTGACTTCACGTGAGTTTGTACCAAGAGCTGTTCTTTGCTTCCATAGTTTTTCGCTGAAACTGTGTAATCATATGTTATGTTTTATGCGTAGAACGCCGATAAAACGAGAACCTATGAGTGAGGCGTCTTCGTCATCCATGGTGGTGTCAACGCCCTGCGTGACGGACCCCACGATGCCGCTGGGTGGGGCGCTGGGGGCGCACGCCACGCACGGCACGCTGGGGGCCCTCGGCTCGCTGGGCTCGTTGGGCTCGCTGGGCTCGCTGGGGGCACTCACCACGCCACACGCCACGCCGCACAAGTCCCACACGCCACACTCCGACCACTCCAGCCAACACGACTCTCTCAACACCCCTGACAGTCAGTACCATTCTATTATTTCTATGAATATTACTAAAATAATAGTTGATATAATTATATAATAGTAGTGTGTGTATTGTCAGTTGTTTTGTAACACAATGTTACTGTCGCAACAGGCTCTGGTGCTAGAGGTCGGTTGCGTAACGCACTAATAGCAGACAGCGACGACTTCGCGCCCATCATGGGCGGGGGTCGCTTCCAGTTGCAGACCGAGGACCAGGAGTCAGGTAAGATGCGCAATCCATTCATTATCATGTCAATCTCAATATTCATATATATTGTGCACAGGATTTGGGTACCAAAAATATAATTATGTCATTGTCATCATGAGCTAACCTTTAGTTATATTTCATCAAGTCATGGGTACTAGTCACGCTATAGCGAGCGGGATCAGAGGACGGCGGTGCGGTCTCGTGGCTAGCACTTTGGCTGTGACTTGTGTGTCGAAGTCACATCACAGTCAGAGTTCTAGCTACGCGGCCGTGTGGACGCGGCGAGGACATCTTAGATATAATTCATACGGCAGCGGGATTCACTAGGTTGGTTCTTTGTTTAACTGTTTCATTTGTACGGTGACACTATCGACTTGCTAGAAAAATCATACATAACTTTATTACATGTAAGCAACAAGTGCCAAATCGATATTGTTTCCTAATGAATTCATTTACATGTATAATTGTTTATGTGCTATGTATCATACCACGGTAAAACACCTTCGCATTGCATGCTTGTCTTATCACAGTGCTCTTGTCATGATAAATGCTTTCACTAACTACGATAACTGTCGTAAAACTTCACTAGAAGAAATGTTCCTTACGCCCATTTTTATTTCTCAATTTATACTATTTGTATGCAATTTGTTGGGTTGTGCAGTTTTCTGTTAAAATTAACATTCTATTTCATACATTATATTGCATTCTGCCTTCATTGCTTTTTCGGTAATATATCTACCCTCATCTAGTAACCATTGTTAACATAATTAATATAACATTCTAGAAGAAACATAGATATTGTCATAAAATATAAGTTATGAATCACAGTTGCTTCCTTTTTATAGTTTAATTAAACAGAACTTAGAAATAGGTGAATCTTTGAAGACCTTGCACAGCGTAATTGCGTGTGCGTTAACTTGTGCATTTATGAACTGAAGATGTATTTGACATCATATGATATGTATTTATAGTAATAATTTATTACTTCATTAACATGGTTAAATTAAATACACAAGATTAAAGTCTGTACATAATGTTCTGCGACTTATTAACATTTTTACAGATCTCTGAATGGTTAGCCTTTTTATAAAAAGCACAAAATACGAAAGCTCCTGAAGTTTTTGATTGTAAATATGTTTATTTGGTGCAATGCTCACATCTCATCACGGGTTCACCATTACAGTTTAGATGACTATAATTTCAAACGTCATTTAATTAAAATTAATTTCATATATCTTAAGTAAATTTTAAACACATAAGTTGCATTTATCGGTATTTTACCTTGTCATTGGTGTGAGCATTCTCCAAAGGAGAGCTTACAAATTTCATGTTCGGTACTGCGGGGTCGTCGGTCGCGGTGTGTCAGGCGGGAGGGCCGGAGGGCCAGAGGGAGGGGACGGCCGCGAGCTGTATCCCGTGCGGCCGCAGTGTCACATGTAGCACCATGGGATTCAGCTCACGGACGCTCGCCACTAACTGCCAACTCATCTACTAACTCCACGTACAACCATCGCCAATGTAACAACGCTCTCATGTCTAACTATGTTTGCACTGTGTTCCTAACCTTCGGAAAATGTCGTTCACGCCTTCATCTCACATTCAACCATGATTACCATTTAGCTTTTGGCCTTGGGATCCGGTAACTTCTCTGACACCACAAACGTTAACGACGTTTTTCGAGGATACAACACCCACTTTGAATATAACAGATCTTGGAACTCTTCCATGAGACTGTAACATATTTACAATATTCAAACAGGGTGAAGATATGTAAAATTTCAAGCAAAAATAGTTTATGCTATTTTTGTTTGAAGGTTTTTGTGAGTTTATTGTACAGTTTTCCCTTTGCCTCCGCTTCGCCTGTCAAAGTCCAATGATGCTTTCTTTCTTTGTACGTCTCATTGTCTGTACAGATTTTACAGGTGTTGTCGAGGTGGGGGGGACGTGTTTGAACTAATTTTGTAAATAAAATATATTATATTTTTACATGACGATTGTATATTAATTTATAGTTTGATACTGTGATGTCTGTGAAAGTGATCATTGGAAGCATATTGTAGTGGCTGCTTACTTTCAACAAGTTATATTCTTGTGTCAAATGTTAAAAACTTCTAAATAAAATATTGTAGTTAGGCCCAGGATCACTTAGATTTAAACATTTTAAAATTTCTGTGGCATTTGCGATTTGGTAAACTTGTCATAATGTTAATACTATCAACAGAAGTGTACTGATGAAGCTGTTGTTCCATGGCTTTTCAGAACCACTGGAGTTGGAGCCGTTCCTGGCGCTGGAGCCGCCGATGTCTGCGACGGACTACGGGTTCTGCCTGGACCACGATGAGGGGCTCTCGGAACTATTCGACTTCGAGTTCTAGTGCAGTGCGCATGCGTGCCCTGCGGCGCGCGCCCTGCTAGTACTCAGCTGTACTCCTTGTGCGCTACACTCGTCTCAATCTCACTGGAAAGATTTAGGCTATCCAATGATATGGTTAACTATGTTGTGACATCTGCTCCAGGTATTGGGAACGGTGCGAACCGCTCTCAATAACCTAGATCTGACGTGAAATTGTAACGACTGTAGTAATAGTTACAGAACACTCTCTATTTGCACGTGCAGTGTTAATGAATGCGTACAGAAGACATGACGTTCACAAATGTTTGCTCAACAGAAGCATGTTCTGGGTACTTCTATTAACGCAAGTCAATAGGCTCGCAAAGGTCGTGCATGCCATTTACTAATGTTTTTGATGAATATATGTAAAGTTTATTTCGTTACGTCGCGTATGATAATGATGCCATTTTATTTACGGGTAATACACTGTCATCATGTTGAATTTGTTGTTTTATATTTACATGTTGCTTTAGACTTGTCTAGGAAACTGTACTTATAACATTTAATTGCGCCTAGACTCCATGCAATTATGAGAAAGTGTGAAGGATGCAAGATGTAATTTGTAGTCATGTTAGTAGTCTGTTTTACTTTTTGACAAGAGCCAATCGTGACTTAGTTGAACACCAATGTGAAACTACAAATTTCACAAATATCAACTAGTTTGTTGATAAATATTTCCCAGATAACTGTTGACCCCGAAACTTCAAATTTTGTCTGATGGTGAACACTTGTTAGCCATGTACTGTTTATAAAAAAAATACTATAGACACGTTATATAGGAGAGTGTTCTGTAAATGCAATAATTTGTGGTACCAAACAAACATTGCGCTCTAATTTACTTGTTTAAATTAATTTCGACGTAAATTATTTAGTTGGATTATTTGTGATGTAGTTGTCGAATATTTAACTAATGCTGTTATGTGTTGTGGGACTGTAGCTGGAGCTCGCTGTTCTAATACGATAGTTGTAGCAGATTACTGGGGGTTATCCACACGTAACTGAGAATATTGTTTGAGATAAACTTTCAACCATATCAAAAAACATTTACTAATTATAATTCCTGTGGAAAAATCCTCACGTTTAAGACTAGAGTATGCTAGCTGTAGTAGACAACAGGCAACTTCGTACCCTCCCTATCAGAAAATCATGGTGCTAATTTCATTTCTTCATCTCGCCATCAACTACAGTCCCGCATTACTAGTTAATACTGAACGCTTATAGTTAAAATGTTCCTTAAAGGTGATCTAATTGATTTGTGTTGTTTAGTACCGACAACCACTGCTTGTTTCCAATGTCTGTGGTCGGTAACTGACGAGGGCGCATGCTACAGATAAATGCCTTAAGAAGTATAGAATTTTGTAAATATTACACAAACCAAGTTTTGTATGCGATCTCTATAGTATGTTTTCACGTTGACGTAGGAAAGTGAAGTTTCCACGTGGAGTATGCGCCCGTGCAGGCAGGTAGGAGCTGGGCCCGCAGCGCCCGTGTACATACGTCGCTCAAATCGGAGGGCGCGGGCGGGCGCCTTGTACATATACACTAATGAACGGTGATATCTTAGCGGCCTTCGATTTTACTTGTAAAGCTAGCTCTAGTGTTCCATACGTCATACGTTCACGTTAGGGCTGTCGTTTGCGTATTGCACATTGTTCCGTTATCAATATTCTGATTTGCCAAATATTTAGTTATATGCCTGATATATATACCTGAGTTTGTCATTTAAGTTCCACTATGGGTTCGTTTAGTTGTCATTGTAAATAGTGGTAGGCAGGGCGGGAGCGCGGCGAACGTCAGCATTATAATTTGGGTAAATATAATTTGGATGTTTAAGTACAAAGTGCGATGCCGCGATAGCCGTCTTACCGTGATGTAAGTACATTACTCGAACTCGTTGGCACGCCTCCGCTCTGCCCTTTTTGAATAGTGTACAGCACAAATGTCATTGTAAAAACCTATTAATAAGTGCATATCAAAATAATTTTAATGTTAGACTTATTTGGAGATGAGTGTGAGTGGCTCGAGCGAAGGAGGCGCGGAGTGTCGGACTCAGGCAGGCGGAACCTGGTTGCAATATTAGTGCAAATAGTATGAGCAGGGCCGAAATCATTGTTTGAATATTTTAGTTGTCTACGTTAGTTACATTCCGTGCCCTTGTAATGACAGACAACAGATCCCGCGTCTTCCAGGCATTTGTACATATTTATATTTTGATGGATTCACGAGATTAGACTGAGAACGCGGATTATGAGTGTCACGTTACTCGATCAACAAGTATAAGCAGCACGTCGCGCGTCGTTACACGCATCAACTGACCACGTAGACAAGGGCGCGGAACTCTCGCCGTACCGGGTGGAAACATGCGACTACGTCCCGCCAGACTACCCGCTGATAGTATTAAATCATTGATATGTTTATTTATAAAATTATTTGCGTAGTGGGTTAGCTTTTATAGTCACGATACGAATTTTTGTTTCACATAAATTTTGTACATTACGTTAGCTATGTTATATGCTGCGTTTTTAATGAAATGAAATCTTACTTCTAATGAATTTTTAACACTTTTCGTTTCAACATCGTTATCATTAAGTTTTATTTCGGTTTGATAGGATTTTATTTTTCGTTTTAATTATGCTTCCGTGCAAAGCAAACTCTGTGCGAACGCTTTTGGAATCATTCTACCGTAACAGATTTTGCTTTTAGCGGCGCTCGTCAAGTACCTTATTGTAAAGTAACAAATTATTGAAAACTGCGAGATACTTTAGTTACCTCATGTCATGTTCCTTAAACATCGTAGAAATCGATAATAGTGTACATTTATCAAGTTTGTTGGTATACCGTTTACTGTGGAATAAACTACCGCTTGGTAGTGATTAATTTTATTGGTACCTGAGTGTCGATTTTTAAGGAACACATGCAATCACGGTGAGGATTGCTAGTTGCCTACTAAAATTTTTGTTCGGCATCGCACCGCCTCATGCTAAAGGTGGCATTTTGTTTTAAATTATTTACGACACAAATTCTGGGGCCAAACGTACGAGAAAAAGAAGTACAAATTATTAACAAAAATTTTCTCGTAATTTAGTTAAGGAACGCTACTTCCATTGTTAACATCGATTGATGTTTTGTTTTTAGCGAATGATTTTATAGTCGGACACGTTTGCATTGTAAACACGCAGTAATTGTGTAATGTGTGTCGGTTTATGTTCTACTCTTGCAAATTTGTTCTTAAATTTATAACGTATTGGAATTATTATTTATTTTAGTAGCGCTTGTCTGAAATCATTTAATCAATAATATTTGATGTTAGTTAAGTAACTTAGTCGGACCCTAAGTTGTAATTACGTAGTGTCTGTTTTACGTAATGACTGAAAGTTTCCCAATAGATTAGAATAGTCTGGTTATGCCCACCTAATACCTAACATTTGCAAAGGCCCACTTAAACCAGACACTTGATAATTACATACTCAGGCTGACTTAAAAAATCCAATCTGGTAATTTGTTAAGAGAACCTCATAATGTTACGCTTACACAATAGCCGTCAGTATTTTGTAGTCCAATTCATTGGAATATACTCAATTATTACTTCTTCAACTCAACGCCGATAGTTTGATGCGGATCTCAAAATGTTGGTATTGTTTGTGTAAGTTAGATATGAAACTATCGGCGCGGGGCGAAACTGTTACAACGATTTTAGTCCGTACATAATAACGTCACTGCGACGGTCCACAGGGTCCTAATGTAGTATTTCAATACAGACAATATTAAAGTAATTGGAACTTCACAATGAGTGGCGACGTAGGCCCGCTGTTTGCAATGTTGTCTTGACACGTGACGCGGGGTACATACTGATCTGATATCACAGGTAGTATTCTCTCTTACTTTCTGTCTCTAGATGTACTTATGTTACTGTATAAATCTGCGAGGTAGCCTAGTGTGAACTTTGTCAATGAATGGGTTGTAACCAGTCAAGTTAAAGTTTGCTGGTAGCTGCAGACTAGCCAGTTGGCCAGTGTTGTTATATGAAACAGAGACTTTTGGACGGCATGTTTTGTGTAAAACTTTATCTGGTTTAATGTAACAAATTGAAGGTGCAATGTTATAAATATGTATTTATAGTGTGAAGCGCGGGAGGACGCGGGGGAGCGCAGGAACGCTCGGAGGTAACGATACGCTTGTTTGCGCCATTTGTTGTTGGTGTGAGGCCTGTTTGATTTGTATTCATTTGTGTTGAAAGACTGAGGTTGATTATTCCAGTTTCGACGAACGTGCGAGTTATTTGTTGATTGAATTTAAATATAAAGTCATATATATAGTTAGGTTATATTTTTTAATAAATATAATATTGAGATATGTAATATATTACTGTTTTTTATTCCGTATTACCCCGTAAAAGTATAAGGCTAGTTACATTAATTGTAGCTGTAATAAGAAATCAGATGTATGTAAAAAAGTTTTAATATCTGAAGCTAGATAAAGTAGGTATGTACATTAACCTTAATATAAGGTGGACAGATTACACTATCATTATGTTGGTGTTTGTATTTACAAACTGGCACTTATTCAACTGCAACACTTACAAGCTACGCTTAAATAATAAAAAGAACAATATCAGTCCCTAATAAAGTTGTCGAGGGGAAAATCTTTGAAGGAATGACTCCAGATGTCGGTAAAAGCAGTGCTGACGAGGTCATTGATTAGTGGTCTGATGACTGCAAAGCCTGGCTTCCATGTCGCATTGATTAGCCGGTCTAACATGCGCTCTGCAAATCAAAATAGAACGGATAAATGGTACGATACTCTAAAAAAATACTCTTCATGCAAAAACTAGCAAGTGCTGTGACGCAAGATGCAAGCGCTCTAGCGGTTCATGATGCTGTTGAGTTCTAATAGAAATCTACATCGGTAGGTAACGTACATAATGAGACCACTTATATCTACGATGCAATATCAAAGCAGGTATCCATGATACATGCTTGGTGCAGATCTAGCTACAGAAAAGATGGTTTTGTCTAAAAGTATCTTACGCATGTATGTACCAAGTATTCCATTTCCCCTGACGAGGTTGCCGACGTGTATCTCCATGTCGCCGATATGGTCCACTTCTACGTGCACGTCCACCACTGTGCCGTTACGCTTGATACGCGTCGTTTGGGAGTAGTCGCGCAATGTCATGTTCCAGCGACCAGACCGGAGCACACCTAAACCGAATGCGTCACCCTGGAAAATACAATTTTTATTTTTATTTAGGTTTTATTCTAAAAGAGGTTTTGATAATTTTTATAACATAAGTTAGGAGTTCTATGAAATATTTTTAAGAGGTGATTAAAATTTCGTTATTTTTGAATTTCTGGATCTCGAGATGTCGCAAGATTTTCAAGCGGTCTGCGAAAAGTATCCTTTTTATATGAGCTTCAAAAAGTTCAATTTATATTCGTGTTGTAAGTTTTTATAAGTAAATGAGTCCAGTTTACAATGAGACCAAGATAAATCCCAACCTTAGCAATAACTAGGTAGGTCTTAAGAGAAGAAAGATACACAATTTTTTTTAGTTATTATAATATCTATGTATAGATGACTGAAAATTTCTAACATTTTGAACCAGTAAAGTATTGAAAATAATAACGAACAGATAAGAAGAATGAGGAAAAGATCAGAAAAGAAGATAACAGATAAGGACAGGCACCTAGTTGTTGCTCTGAACACAAAATTCTGTTGTAATTTATAATATTAGCACATAGTTTTATTGACATTAATTACGAGAAAGTATTAAATCACTATGCGGCCTTAGGTAGATTAGTAATAGATATTGGAGGTGACGAGGTGCGGCACGATGAAATGTTATGGAAAAATACAACAGCTCATCATTTCTACCTTGAACTCGTAGTCGCCATTGAGCCACTTTTCTGGAAAGTATTGTGAATATATAATGCGCTGGTTCTCCCAATCAGTTCTGTAAAACAATTATAGGTACACAAAATTAATCACTTTTAAGAATTTTGGTAATCTCTAGGTCGGATAGATATTATTATCCACGTTAGCAAATTTGCATCTAATCAAAACTGGGCTATTTAGAACATCAATAATGAAACCTTTGACCTCCGCTACTTCAGAAGTGCCAAAGTGCCAAGACCGGATTACGGTCCGATCACGATAGTGATAAAATGGGCACATATTGTTATATTCCCCGTTTGTAGGACACACACCATTCTTTGTTGGAATTTCCCACTGCGTTCCGTATATCAAATGTAGACAGATGAATATTATACTCACTTGTATTTTGTAACGACGGAATTCGACCAGCCCCTTTCAAAGACGTTGTTTAACGTGAGTGTGTAGCCGACCCCGTTGATTGCTCGCACCTGCCTCACCTCCCGCGCGAAGTGAGGGTCGAACGGAGCCACGCCCATTTCGGGGATACCTGCACATAAAAATTGGGAATGGACGAAATTGGAATTACGAAAGGTACCTAATGTTGCTTGTGAGGGGGCAATAGGGAGCCGCTGTATGAGAACTTATCGCCGTTGGCGAGACATTCGAAAAGGCCAGGTGCGACTTACTAAAGCGTTGCATGTTTATACGACTTGCATTGAACTTTTAAAAGACACCTTGGCTCAGATGTTTTTCTTAAGGTGGTATATATTAGCATAAACTATTGATAAAGATTAATAAAAGTTTTATTAAATTATTTAAATATTCAGCATAGTACCTAGTTATCAAGATCAACTTACAAATCGAATAAAAATAATAGAAAATGTTGTTTTAATTAAAAAGTTTACAATTATGTGCAATAAAAACGTAGGTAATAACAACATTATACAATTTACACTCTACCGGTTACTTATAACAAATTATTTAACCAAAGTTTTTGCTATTGACAATGTTAATAACCAACATAAAATTGAGTTTCCTAATCAAATTACGTTACCCCTGTTATTTTAAGATATCAATCTAATTTACGTAGGCAATTAAAGTTTTGTATCTGTTATTAACTCGGCAAAAGCTTCATGTGCACTTGAGCGGTCACTTTTGAGCGGTAGGTAACGTAACATTTTGAGCAATGCCATTGAGCAAGTGTACATATGTTCAGAAATTCTTCATATCTAAGTGTTTGTTTCTCGTTTTCGTAGTGTGTTGTACTCACCTACTTTAAAATAGGGTCGCACTTTGTTGAAAGCCCTCTTGATACACCCATCGAAGTCTGGTGACGATTTTCTGCACGCTGAGAATATTCTCTCTGAAAAAATATTACGAAGAAAGTGTTACACATGCGTCCTTATTGAACATGACACATCACATTTAATAACATTAAGCTATCGGTAGTGGGATAACTTTGCAGATGAGAGGATAAAGAAGGCGCGAGAAAAAAGACGGGTTTTAGTCTTAGTGTGGGAGAGCTATGCTTCGGCACGAATGGGTCGGCTCGGCCAGAGTAATATCACGGCCTCACAGAAGACCGTCGTGAAACAACCACAGCGTTGTGTTTCGCCGTGTGGGTGAGGTTACCGGAGGCCCAATCCTTCCCCGCTCCCAACCCCTCCTCAATCCTTAAATCTCCAAATCCCTAATCCCTAAAAGGTCGGCAACGCACTCGTAACTCCTCCGTTGCGGGTGCCCATGGGCGGCGCTGATTGCTTACCATCAGGTAATCCGTCTGCTCGTTTGCCGACCAATTACATAAAAAAAAAGTATAAGATTTACCTTATCCCATACCATATCAATAGACTCTCCTCAGAATTAAATTTGGGAACAGAATGAAAACCTTTCGTAGTATTGTCACTGGACTAGAAGGTGCAACTAGATACATTGGTATGAGATACTAGATACCTACATAGGACTTAAGAGATATGTATGTATGTATGTATGTTTAGATTAGAAGCACGAGTAATACTTAGCATTTTTAAACGAGTAAATAATTCTAATTAGTGTTGGATTATGTTGCCTGGATCAATGGCTAATTTTGACATTACCTAAAACATATAGCTATATCTATAAAAATGGCCTAGCTACCAAAAAGACAGATAAATATGAGATAATACTTGGTTTCACAATATAAGTAACAACTTATTTACTGATTGGCTGACGTGATGCGGTTTGATTTGATTCAAGTGACAGTACCAGTTTATTGGTGCTTTTGCGTAACCTTGCGAATTTTATGAACGACCACGAGAGACTCTGAGAAATAAATAAACTATAAATAGTAAAATATGTGGGTCATAATAACTCGGTGGGTCAATAATCCAAACTAATATTATAAATGCGAAAGTAACTCTGTCTGTCTTTTCTTCACGCCTAAACTAATGAGCAGATTTCTGTGAAATTTGGTACAGACATAGTTTGGAACTCAAGAAAGGACATAGGATAGTTTTTATACCAAAAATCTGTAGTATGTCACTATTCCACGCGAACGGAGTCGAGGGCAAAAGCTAGTAAGTAACTAAGTATGTTTAGATATGTAAGTATGAGGTACTTTTCCTCTCTAGTGTGGAAGTATGTGGTGCGTTCTCTCTCTATGTAGCTCCAATTATATTTTTAATTACCTCTTAACTAAAGTCTAAATGTAGATGAAGGATTCACATTAGACGACTATTTTTATATTTAAAAGCCCAAGTATCTGTAGTCTGTTGCAGATGTATTACTTGATAGAAGTTGAAAGTTTAAAAAGTTAATCTTTGTGGCAACATGAAGTCTAGACAAATAAAGATAGGAATAAACAACTATTTATAAAAAAAACGTTGCTAAATATTGTTGTAGGTTGGTATTTGGGACATATTGCAGTATTGCTCTTAGATAACCACAAAGAGAAACAATCTGCAGCAATAATGCAATGCAAATGAACAAGATCATGTTTTTTAATTAACATATCGGCTACATTAAAGTCTGCATGCTTTCCTCATTATTGCACAGTTCTTGCAACGAAACTGGAGCATATTTGCATCACTGGGATTGGCATTGGATCCCTGTTGTGAAGTTGTTTCTCTTCAATGTCCCACAACGTGTTTCGATATAGAGAAAGGTAATTGGAAAGGTAATTGGTCTGTGGTTTTACTTATTCGGTGTATTTGCTTGCGTATCTACCGATTTTAGGCATTAAAAATGGAGGTTTTAAAAATAAGCCTGGATTTTGCTTTGGATTTTCAGCTTCCAAACGTTACCTACCTATGTCTAGGGAATTGTGAAAGACAATCACATATCTACTTAAATATTTTGAAACTTCTACACACAAACACGTAAAATAGGTATGCAAAGTACAAGGTAATTAATAAATTTTGTTTGATTTCTGTAAATGTTACTATTTTTGAGAAGATTTATGAGGAAAAGGAATAGAATTATAGGTAGGTGCCTAATGCCTATATGATAAATAATAAATATCGTTTGATTTCTTTGATGTTGCTTAATGTTGAATTACTATTAATATATCGCCGGAGTTGTTGTTAATTAGTTATTTAGTGACTTATGTTTAAATCGTGGCATATGAAACATCGAATTAACCTAACGTTCATCTCACCTTGGCTGCTTTACATCACTATTTGTTGACGCTCAGGCGAGCAATGTTGCCCAGCCGCCATCTTGCTCAATGCATCCGTTACGAAAATGTATATATCATGATTTCATATTTCGAACGTTGACACAATACCTTTTAACCTTTTTCAAGGACTGATAGCGATGGACCGGTGAGATTACGACAAAATCTGAATATCTAGGAAGGTTACATTTGCGGATAATTTGACGACAAATTCTATTAAGTAGGTATTACCCAATCCTAAACTTGGCCGCTTACTTAATAACAACTCATTATTAAAATATATTTATATCTCTCTCTCTTCTATTATTCTCTGTATCTCTTCACTTTTCTATAATCAGGTATTCATTTGACTTACTAATGTAGGTACGAATGCTTTAATGTCATTGAGTTATGTACCTACCATCATTGAAAACTTTTTAATCAATTGAACCCGTGACTTGGTGCTTGATAATTACATTTTCAACCATTTATTCATAGTGGACAATAATGGTAATACTTATAAGTCTCTGTACCAACACACAATATATACATCTAACGTACTTACCTAAAAATTTAAAGGCAAAAGCGGTATTTATTTAATTTAATTAATTAATGCCAATTGTATATTTACACTTATTTATTTTAGTAGATATAGAACATCACAGAGATGCTGGAGGCAATAATTATTGTATAATAAAGAGCATTTTAACATAACTTTTAATAGTTGGTTGTATATAAATAAAAATGCAAGTCATTAATGTTATAGCTAGTGGCGATATTCTGCAACGTTGCCCAATGTTCGGCTCTCGGACTCACGTAACTGTCTGTGTATCCGCAGGTATATTAATGGTAATGCCAACGTACCACCTATGGTTACTCTACCATTAACCCGTATATTAATGGTGAGTCCGCTTCTATGTCAAGGAGCTCACTAAAGAAGGTTGAAGAGGAAAAGTAGAAGGTCCATTGCTAAGCTAATTGTTTGAATTAGAATTGTGGTTTTAAGCCAGCGTTTTTCAACCTTTTTTGTGGCACGACCCCTTTTGCATGAAAGAATGTTTCTTATTTTCAGAATTGGTTTTTCAACTGTTTTTCACTCTAAAAGCATTGCGACCCCTATAAGGACATCACGGTCCCTAGAGGTCGCGACCCACACGTTGAGAAACACTGTTTTTATGTCTCCATGTTGCTGTTGGTTTAATGATGTTTAGTTGAGCTTTGTATGGTAAATAATTGGCAAATTCGCACGGCCTCAGTCATGCTAGTTCACATAAGATATCAGTGTATCACTTACATAATTAGCTGTGCGTAAAATTTACGTTGTTTTATCAAATGGACTGATTTAATTAGGTCATACATTTTAAGCCTAATCTAAAAAGTCTGCATTCAATGGCTTAGTCTTCCAGAATAGAAAACACAAAAAAAATATTGACAACAAGAGACCATTAACACTTCAGTACTTACTTATCCCTAGCTTAAAAAGGTCGCATTCTCTGTCCCTATACCCACGTACCTACGCTTAAATCTTTAAAACTATGCAACAAATTTTGATAAGGGTTATTAATACATAGAGTGATTGAAGAGGAAGGTTGACAGACGCTTTGTACATTATAATCTATCTATACTTTTTGCCAAATTTCATTCTGATCCGTTCAGTAGTTTACTGTAAAAGAATAACAAACATTCCAAGCATCATTTTTGCATTTACAATATCTATTGATAGGATTGAACAGATCAATCGAATTCCAGAGAAATATAATAATAGTTTAAAATCTGAAGTTATTATGTTAATTGTACTTAATTATAGGTGCAAAGGTTCGAAGTTTCTAGTTTCATCGTTTATTATTATTAGACGTTCTTTTTATAGTGCACATTTGTTGAAGAAATACCGGATTGGTACATTAACTTTATTCGTGTTTTAAAGAATATAGTTGCTAAGATATTTACCTACATATTAACCAATATAATTTTGTAACTAATGCAATAAAACTAGTTATATCATCTGTATAATAATCAAATTAACAAGAATTGTGAATATACATAGTTTGTTTGTTTATATTCGCAATTCTAACCGTGAAGGTCGCATTGCGTAATAGTAAGAGTCAATATTTATCAGGAATTTTAAGAGACTTTATGGTTGGCCAAAGATGTACTTATAGAGTTAAGATGTTAGCGATTATAATTACTAATATAATAAAGCTGAAGAGTTTGTTTATTTGGTTAAACGCGCCAATCCCCGGAACTGCTGGTTCGAACTATACAATAATAATTGAATAATTCGAACCAGCCAGTAACCATCAATTAAAACTATAATCAATAGGATCCGAGCCCGGATGGAACGACTAAGTAGGAGTTGCTGATCTTTGTATAAAAGTGGCTTTGGCTGAAAAAAATTCTACAATCATGACAAGAAAAGGTTATGATAAACTATCTTACTCATTCTGAAATACTTACACCCGGTTTCCGAAAGGTCAAATGTTAAAATCAATTTATTCTCTTGTCAAGTCATCTGATTGGTTGACTGAATTATCAACAACCAATCAGATGACTTGACAAGAGACTTAACAGGAGATTAGTTAATTTTAGCGTTGACAAGCCTTTCAGAAACCGGGCGTTAATCTTTTATCAAAATATCAGCATCCCAACATCTAATGGAAGTATTATGTATTTAAATATGATAATGTCCTTAATGTTATCTGAAACAATGCTAATGCAAATTATCTGCCCACATAAATATTGATTTAGTTGAGAATATCAAAGTGTAGCTTTCGATATTATTTATAAATATTAATTTTATTTCAAAGTCTATCAGAACATAGGTATCTATTATTTTTGTTGTTTTTTATGTTCCACCAGAGGAGCCACTCCTTTTGACGAGATTTAGGGATTGTTTTGGAGATTTAGGGATTGGAGAGGGATGGCAGGAAGGGAAGGATTGGTTAGCCGGTAACCTCACTCACACGGCGAAAAAATGCTGCGGTTGTTTCACGCCGGTTTTTAGTGAGGCCTTGTAGTTGTATCACTCCGGTCGAACTGACACATTCGTGCCGAAGTTTAGGCTCTTTCACACTAAGACTAATAGTAGGTACCTATATGAGAAGTCTCAGCTTGACTTCATACTAAAAATGATTACTAACAAGTTTTTTGTTATTTTTTATTAATTAATATGTCTAGATTTGTATTCTATTGTTTCTACGTGATCAACGATGTTAGATGATCTGTTATTATCAATTATTTTGGTTCCCCTCAATCAGTTAATTTTATTAAATTACCTACTGATCTTAAATAATTAAAGTTCCACGAATCCTACATTCTTATTTACTTATAATTATATTTAACCTTCAATATTATTTCCTCTGAGTTATTTTTAATGTTGTGAGGAAACAGAATCATTTAACATATAACATAGTTAATAATAGCCAAAGTACTTATTAATTATATTGATTACATACACGTCCTTCATTACATTTATTTTTGAAATACTGACGACTAAAGGGACTTGGTTGCCTTAAGTAGATTATTGGGTATTTATTAACTTGAATAACTGTTCTAAATTTTATTGAAAGTAACGACTTACTAACGTAAATTAACTGAGCGAAAGCTCGACTAGTTTCAAGTCACAACGGGACTCTTATACATGAGCAGCGTGTGCGTCGCGGCGTCGCGCAGCCAACTCTAGTAGTTCGTCTCACGATATTTAGGTACCTACCATTAAGGGCTGATTTTTCAATGGCTAGATAAAAGTTACCTGGGGAATAATTATGATGCTGTCGCGTCAGAATGTTTGTATAAGACAGTGACAGCAACAGCTATTGAAAAATCAGACATAAAAAAAACCGTTCTACAATCTCACTCTGGCTTTTAGACACACGAGTTTGAAGTAAATGAACTAGATAGGTAGTTCAAATCACACGTTTTTATAAGTTAGTGCTGAAGTGCAGGTAGGTATACTTACTAGTTATATTATATTAATAATTTATTGAATCAACAGCCCGCTTATGTCATCCATCACTTTATATTAGGATATTTTAGTCACAAGGCAGTCCGGTAGTTTCCATCAACAAATAAAATTTAATACATCTATTGAAATATCAAAACTATTAAATGAATTTTATGAGATCGTAACAAATAATTTGTTGTGATCATAAAGCAGTAAGCTACATAGTTCGAACGATGAACGGCAGATTGGCCAGAAAACTGAAAAGTGCTCAAGTGTCAATCACAGTCCAGAAGAACTAGCATGGGCAAATACCAATGTGAAAAGATTTTTTTTTGTGATGGTAAAATCATCAAATGACTTCTCCCGCCCAGGGCCGGGCAAGAGGGAGTGTCAGACTCTTACTGACTAAAAACCCCCCTGTTCCTTCTTCTGCTCTGTGCCGAGGTCGCGGTACCTCATTGCGCTTACCCTGCAACCCCGGCTGAACATCAGCCCTTTAGGGCCCCGTCTGTGGTGGTCGAATGGCTCTTTGAGGCGCGCGCGGAACGCTACGCGCCGTACGCTCGGGCCTGGTTCTGGTCGGGCGGCGAGCTGCCCTTACTCGCCGACCACAGACCCGTGCTTACGGTGGCCGGAGATCGTCACTTGATCCCCGACGCCCGTAGTGTCTCCAGTTGCGGCGGCTGGGGCGTGAGGAGGAGAATTACTCTTTCACGCGGGTCGTCTCTCTTTGCGAGCATGACTGCTTCACAAAAGGAGGAGACGGCGTCCCAGTTCCTCTCACTCCGCACCATGGCCTCGACCAAGGAAGGTGAAAAGATGACAATGCAACGTAAGAATCGCAGAAAGCCAATGGAGGCAAGTGACAACTTATCGTTTGACATTGTAGATAGTCTTCTTAAAGACCTTTGTCTAGCAGTGGACGTCTTCCAAATGATGAATAATGAAGATCAAAATCAAACTGCGAAACATTAGTAAATTATACCCTTTTTTGTAACGAAAATCATCATGATTTGAAATGATTTCTCTCGTCTAGATGACGCGACACTCTTACTAACTACATCCCCCCGTGCCTTCTCTTGTTCTAGGCTGAGGCGGGTGTACCTTATTGTCCTTGACCCTGGCTAAATTTATTACACCTGAAGCTTTCAGAACGTGCTCGTCTATACCCTTGGCCAGGAGGGAAAAAATGACTAGGTTTCCTTTTTTGTGAGGGAAAAATTCTCAAATGACTTCTACCGCCCAGGGTCGGGCGAAAGGGAGTGTCAGACTTTTTTATAGTGTAGGTCGGCAAACGAGCAGACGGATTACCTGACAGAAAGCGCCCATGGACACCCGCAATACCAAAGAAGTTACGTGTGCGTTGGCGGCCTTTTAGGCATAAGGGTTTCAGATATTTAAGGACTGGGAAGGGACGGAGGGAGGGGGAGGGATTGGGCCTCCGGTAAACGCACTCACACGGCGAAACACAACGATGTGGTTATTTCACGCCCCCGCGCCGGACTAAAAAGCCCCGTTCCTTCTCTTGCTCTGGGCCGAGGCCGCGGTGCCTCAATGCGCTTGCGCCACAAAAAATGACTAGGTGGACTTGGCCTACTAGAATCCTAGAATCTAGCATACCCATAGATAGCATTGTAATACGACTCTCTGGAGCTTCATCTATTTTTACATTTTCTACGTCAAATACCATATCTAATTATTTTTTTTCAGAAAATATTGCCATTTAAACGAACTAAAATTAAGTAAAAGTCAAATAAATGAATGAAAGTATTTAGATTATATTTATACATATATGTTTTTTTATCCAGTAAGTTCATTTTGCGAAGGGTTTTAATGTAATCCAAGATGGCCAACATGAACTTGGATATTGAGTTTCTACAAATCTTATAAACAAGTTCGTTACCTTGTCGTGAATCACATTCACTTTAAATTGTAAACTATTCAAAATATATCTACATAAAATGTTTTAGTATTTAGTATTATAGTATATAGTGTTTAGTATTATACATATCTATAAAGACCTATTTTTCTTTATCAATATTGGAAAATAACGCGAATTTCCAGAAAAGGGGCAGACAACTAGAACATTTTTTTCTAATTAAATGTCACTATCATTAATAATTATTATGAATTTTGTATGAGATTACTAAACTGTTACGTGATAAGTATATATTTTATTTTCTGTCTAAAATTATATCTACTGATTTATTTTAAATTTGTTACACAAAACATTTAAATTAAGTCAACCAATGACAGTTTAGAATGGTATGATTTATTATTGTGGCATCATCGTTGTTCTAAGTATATTTGTATCAGTGATAGCAAGCGAATACTATCTTGGATGGCATTTCCGGGTTAGTAAGTCTAGGTCGAATTCCCTATTAGGTTATATAATTTTGAAGTTTATAATTTTTATATCAAAATAATATAACCTCCTTGCATTCATATTTACTTACGCTATTTTAAAACTTGGAGACTTCGATTTATAAACTTCGGAAAGATTTCAGCGATATAAAGTAAATGCTTTTTTAAGGTAGGGTTGCAAGGTACTAAGTTTAATGGTCAGGAAAACCTTAGGTTTGGCTAAACCTCAAGGTAAGAGAAGACGGACTTACTGAAGTCCGGATATGGACTAAAATAGTATGTCAGGAAAAGTGTATGAGCGATTGTCATTCGTTCAAATTCTAAAGTGAACAATTGTAAAGCTGGAATGGCAGCAATTTTGGCCGGATAGGCAGTCAAAAAGCCTAATACATCGGTTACGGCTTTATCTGGACTTTGGGCTCCGCCACCGTAGTTGTGCGTACTGCTTAAGATCACTGACGTCATTGTATACTATTAAAGAGAACTATGCCCGGCAGACGATGGGAATGGCCTTGAAACATATTTAATTTTCTAAACTCTTAGGAAAAAACACTGAGGCGGGTCTCCTATGTCGTGGGTCGCTTATACATACATACAAATTCATATGCCCGACATAATTATAAATGTAGGGTGATAAAAAAACCGTTCCGTCCAGGAATAGGACCTGCGCTATACATGGCAGCCAGTTGTCAAGCCACTGCGCCAGACGTGCAGTAATACTTCTATAACATACACACACATAAGCACCACTTACTTACGTAGTAATTCTTAAAACATGACCCACATTTTCATGCATTCCCAACCATAACAAATTGATTTCACGCGTTATACACTTACTAACAGTGTCTTTGATTCTAAATACAGACGCGTGCTTATCAAGATATCTCCAAAATATCAATCTTCTCTAAATAAAATACTTTTCTGTTACATTGTAATAAGGTTCAAAATCGAATGAAGAAATTTCTAGTTGGTAAACAGTTTTTTAATGATTGAAATAATTTTATTACCGTAAGTAATTAATTTGTCAGTTACTTATTCCTTCTTATGAGAAAGGGACTAGGTCAATTAATAATAACATATTGTTAATCTCATCTAGTTCTTAGAATTTCAATTTTGCTGTTTATAAATATTAAGAAAAGTTTTTTAACAAATAGCTACTTACCAATTTCGAGTGCTTCCCTTTCGGTCTTCGTCAACTGAGACAGGCACACCACAAATACACTTATACTAATTACCATACTTAATGAACGCATTTTGAATGATTTCTTAGATTTATTTAATTAAAACATTAACAAAACCTGTGTTCTATTCAAATCAAGAATAACTATTACGCGGGAAACAAAAATTTTTGAATATCGAAGTGAGAATTGACAAGCGAATATTTTTAAATCTCGAATTGTAAATAGGTTTTTATCGTAGGCACACTGAGCTATGGTCAAGCGCAATCTGAGTGCGTCTGCGAAAGTGCACGCCCCTACCAATGCTGAGTTGCGACACAGCTGTTGTCACTAAGAATCTGTTGCAAAGTTCTTACAAGTATGAACTTTGTTTATGTAAACAAATTTTATAGGACACCTAGATTTTGAAGTTGTTTTGTTTTATGTGATAGATGGACAAACGAGCAATCGGTGCCCATGGACACCCGCGACACCAGAGGAGTTACGAGTGCGTTGGGTCGGCCTTTTGGGGATTAGGGTTTCGGAGAATTTGGGATTGGGGAGCGAATTAAGGATTGGGCCTCCGGTAACCTCACTTGAAATACAAGGCGAAGGTGAAGTGTAAGTAGTTGTTTCACGCTGGCTTTCTGTGAGGCCGTGGTCGAGCTAACTCACTCATGGCTCTCTCACACTTACACTATATATACTGATACTGAATGACATAGGTAATCTAGGTTTTAAAAGATACCTAGAATTTGAGTAATAATTTGACTATTGAGTAACAAAATTATAAATGCAAATACGCAACGTAACATAAATAACTTCGTATAACTTTAAAAGCATAAGCCGTGTAAATAATGAAACTAATGTAAGTAATGAAAATAATTAATATTTTAACGCTTATCTTTCAGGCAATATCGGCATGAAAATTTCATTATACAATCATTATTGTTACTAGATAACTATTTCAGTTACCTATTTCAATTTGGTTGCAGTTTTTTTGCGGTTATGAAGACCGGAGGACTCGTAAAGAATGATTTTATTATTGGGATTTTAGAAACCTTCACTAACAGACCAGACAACTATTTCACACAGTGCTAAATAATAAATTGTACGAACATATTAGTTAAAAATAGCTGCTGAACAGATCTAGAAACATCACGGATCAATTATATTCATAAAACATTACAAAAACTTCGAACACAAAAACATAGCGGATATTATTAGACCTGAGATCTTTTTTGTACCTATATTTTTTTCGAAACTCATCGATGCAAATTCCTAAAATATTCTTAATACTAGCTTTTGCTCGCGACTCCGTTTGCGTGAAATAGTGACTCAGATTTTATATCAATTCCTGCAAATTTTTGGTATAAAAACTATTCTATAGCCTGTCTCGATATCCAAACTATGTCTATACCAAATTTCACAGAAATCGGTTCAGTAGTTTAGGCGTGAAGAAAAGACAGACAGACAGACAGAGTTACTTTCGCCTTTATAATTAGTTTGGATAAAACGACACAGTTCTTCACACTTTGATAATATAAACGCCTTATTCTGTTAGGTAATCAATGACATAAGAATATGATATACTATACAATACATATAATACATATATCAATAGGTAAATAGGTACCTACATCTGGTCGTATGTTGTATGACTGTGTTCTTACACGCGTTACATCTGCAGTTATGTAAGTAATGAGTTGAGATGAACTGACAATAGGAAGAGGGCACCGGGAAGCGAAGCTCTTGCGATATAACGGCCATTTAAGCGTAGTACTTAAACATGTACCTACCTACTTACGGACAACATGGCGATATGGCGAGATATAGGTAGATATAACTAGAACCTTATTTATAAATATTAAAAGGTAAGTACTTTTTAAGAATATTAGCGTATCCTAAGGGACGTTTTGGACGGTCAAAGTAGAAACTTTTATGTACCTACCTATAGGTATACATAAAAGTTTGTCGAAATGAAAAGTAGAGGTGTTTGAACTGCAGGTAATATTAGATTAAAAAGATGTCACAATATCTTGTGTCTCTTAAAATTTGTCTCTTAAAAAAAGATTTCGGAATATGCAATACCTACCAGATTATGTGTTTATGTACAATACATCTTCTTTATATATAAAAATTGCGTGTCACATCTTTGTCTGTGATGGACTCCTAAACTACTAAACCGATTTTGAATTTGATTTGCATTCCGTGTGCATTTTGATCCAACTTGAAAGATAAGATAGCTTACATCTCAATTTATAGTCACAATATTATTTACCTTACTGGGTCTGTTAGTAATAAATAAATGATTATAAACTCTTTTAAGCGTGAAGTAATGTCAAATTCACTGATATGATGTGAATTTCTGAATATCCCATTAATTGATCTAGCTATCTAAAGGTAAATGGGTATTAAATAACATTAACAATTACTAAAAAGAAGTATGTAAGAATTGTAGCGAATAAATATTATGATATAATAAAGCGCCCAAAAGACAGACAGTCGCTTTAGCCAGTCGCTGAATTTCAGCGCCATCTATGAACACAAATTGTCAATGTAGCACGTAGCGTGCGTGATGTGTAAGAGTGAACAATAGTAGTTTAGAAACATCAGGCGCTTCCATTTACGGGAATTATTTTTATTATTTTTAAATTATCATTCAAATAAATGAAATTATACGTGGAAAAATATTCTTAAAGCTCTTGTACTGAGATCACTGTTCCACTGGTGCAAGCCGTATCTATATATTAATGGGTAGGTACCAAGGTAGTTAGTTACCTTAAGTCGACAAGAAAATTTGAAATTACACCTTTGTTGCGTAATTCTTATTCGTTTTACGATACTCGTGTATACCTTATTTTTCTAGATAATCCAAACTAATATTATAAATTCGAATGTAACTCTGTCTGTGTGTCTTTTCTTCACCCCTACTGAACTTATTTGTTTGAAATTTGGTACAGACATAGTTTGGAACCCGAGAAAGGACATAGGATAGTTTTTAAACCAAAAATCATTATTCCAGGCGAATAAAGCCGGGCAAAAGCCGTAGAAATTAAAATAAACGGTCAGTGGAATATTGTCTAAAAAAAAAAAAAAAAAAAAAAATGTGTTTATTTTGTCTCTTACATTTTCTTTACACATGTGAATGAAACAGCCCCAGTAAGTGGTTAAAAACACTTGTGTCGGGGTTGCCTCGCTCCTCCCCTGAGTTACTTTACATTATTGAGACGTAGACAATTTCGGTAGACATTAAGGTACAATTTAGACCATAACTATTTATACAAAACAAAAACAGATAAATTAACAATAATAAGGTACACAGAAGAAATAATAATTATAGTAATTTAAATTAAATAAAAGTAATGAGTCAAAGTCTTAAACAAAGAATTTAAAAATTTTTCTTACAGTTCAGATACAAATTATAAACTAAATTAAATCTCAATTAATAAAATCTCAATTTTCAAAGTTAATAACAATAATTATGACATCTATTATAAATCAGGAGTAAAATTAAAAGTTAAAAGTAATTGCTTTTTTTTTATATGTTTTACAAGGCTCATTGTGTTCAGATTGTGCACAATGCGTGTGTGCGTGTATTTGTGTGTGTGTGTGTGTGTGTGTGTGTGTGTGTGTGTGTGTGTGTGTGTGTGTGTGTGTGTGTGTGTGTGTGCGCGCGTGTGTGTGTGCGCGCGCGCGTGTGTGTGTGTGCGTGTATGTGTGTGTGTGTGTGTGTGTGTGTGTGTGTGTGTGTGTGTGTGTGTGTGTGTGTGTGTATGTGTGTGTGTGTGTGTGTGTGTGCGTGTGTGTGTGTGTGTGCGTGTGTGTGCTTGTGTGTGTGTGTGTGTGTGTGTGTGTGTGTGTGTGTGTGTGTGTGTGAGTGTGTGTGTGTGTGTGTGTGTGTGTGTGAGCCATGTGTTATAGTTGCTTGACAATAGTCAAGCAAGTCTAGCCAAAATCAGTTCCGTTTGGTCACACGTAAGAGATTGTAGCCACTCGGTAATCACGACTTTGCATTTTTGTGAGACCTCCAGGTGAAAATGTAGTTCCGCGTTTATTTTATTATAGATGTAGGCCGACTGGCATGCGTACTGACGCCTCGCAAAGGCCGTGTGAACCCTTGAGGAGCAAGCCACATTGTGTTTTCTCCTTCTAGACTGTCTTTCCTGGTTGACTGGAGTATGTTTGTGTAGATACAGTATAACGTTTAAAATGTATAATTTTCTTACTGATAATAGGCCACTTATTGTATACAAATCAGTTGTGGGAAATCTGAACGGCTTGAAATACATAACCTTTAAAAGTGACCTTTGGGCTCTTTCCAGCTCGAGAAATTTAGTTTTAGTGGCCCCTCCCCAAGCCGGCACACAGTATGTAATTACCGACTGCACAAGTGCCTTATAAATGTCGTTGAGTGTCCTTTGAGGCATCACATGTCGTAGGTTTTTAAATATCCATATGAATTTTCTAACTCGCGACGTAATAACCTCGACCTGCGGGTGCCACGTTAAGCACTCGTCTACTGTGACTCCTAGGTATCTTGTAGACGGCTCTTGTTTGATGGGATTACAGTCACAAGTTTGTCCCAAACCTCTCATACAGGAATGGATACGTATCCTGAAACTAGTTCCTGGTTTAGACCTAGAACTAGGGGAGAAACAGATATAATTTGTTTTGGCAATATTGAGGGTCAACAGATTTTCCTTCAGCCATCCATCCACAATGGCTAACCCCTGTTCGGCCTTATTATGAACCTCTTCCCATGTAGTACCAGTATAAACAATAGCCGTATCATCAGCGTACGAGAAGATTTTACCTCCACTGCTTTTTAGGTTACAGAGATCGTTAATATACACCAGAAACAGTGGCGGGCCGAGTACGGAGCCCTGTGGAACACCGAAAACAACCTCTTCCTCATTGCTACGTAATAAGCCTATCCTAACCTGTTGTTTCCTACCCTGGAGGTAACTTTCAAAAAGAGAAAGTGCTTTAGCTCTAACTCCTATAGCCTCTAGTCTCCTTACAAGGATGGGTACAGACACAGTATCGAAAGCTTTTTTTAAGTCCAAAAATACAGTGGCGCATTTATATCCCCTATCTACCTTATCTGTGACTTCAGACGTAAGAGCTATAATAGCGTCCTGAGTTGACCGCCCCTGCCTAAAACCATATTGGGAACCTGAAAGAATGTTGTACTTATTCAAATAATTTACTAGCCTTTTACATACAATTTTTTCTATTATTTTTGAAATTGATGTTAAAACTGAGATTGGTCGATAATTGTTGACCTCGCTCTTGTCCCCGTCCTTGTGC